CTCTTTTCCCTCTCTCATCACATCATGCTTAACAAAAAAAGAATACATAAGAACAGAGGCAGTATATGACGTTTTATTTATTGTCACCAGGTTTAGAATTTTTAGAAAACCTGGTATTTACTGTAATTTAAAAAAAGCCATATTTATGATTATTAACTATAATAATATGCAGTACGTCCCACCATAATTCCCACCCCCACCACCATCCTGGTTTTATTTTTCTGGCATGCTGGCACTCCAGCACCTTACAAGGTAGACATTGCAGTTTTTTCAGCACCCAAAAATGTTACTTACCCCTGCTTGAGGCATTTCATAGTTTCATAGCTGTTAGGGGCTGGAAGGGTCTTTGGATTTGCTTTGTGAAACAGAAAACTTTAACAAATTTATTGAGTTTAATTTCTTATTGCTATCTAGGCTGTTTATCTCCACTAGTTCCAAAAGGCTTAATAGAAGGCCACTAATCGTACCTTTTTCAATCTTCCACTTTTAAATCAGTTTTGTTATATGAACAGACCGTTGGGTGGGGGGAAGGAAGAACATAGATAGCAAGATTATTGACTTATCTTCTCTAGCACTAATCACTGTATACTTTGTAAACTTCGAACGCTTATTTCTCTTTTCATTTTTAGTGTGAATGATCTTCTGGCTGTGGGACCTGACGGTTTCTATGCTACCAATGACCACTATTTCTTTGATTCTGTATTGATGTTCCTGGAGATGTTCTTGGGCTTAACTTGGTCAAATGTTGTTTACTACAGCCCAACAGAAGTTAAAGAGGTAGCAGGAGGATTTTATTCAGCCAATGGAATCAACATGTCACCTGATGAGAAGTAAGTCTGTCTTTGTCTCATTTAGTGAGTTGTCATTTTAAAAAAAAGCCGGGAAATGGTCCTAACTTGTGTGTAGATTAATATTTTTACTATAGTTGTTGTTGATGTGTAGGTTTAGATGTTGAAAATGATTGACTGGTAGGAGATGCTCTTTGTAAATTGCAACTCTAACTTGAAATATTGTGGAACAAAAGTAGGTAATATACTTGGATGCATTTGATGTCCGGTGTTATCATAGTAGCATGACCCAGTTGGTATAGAAATTATATATTGCTTGCAAGAATTATTTATATAAATTTCCTTCTAAAAATGTCTTAAGGTCTTCTGTTCATTTAATGGTACAGGCTACTAAGCTATTTTAATCAGTCTATCTTAAGCTGGGTATGCTGTGGATGCCCTCAAATTTCTATAGATGTTTCTAACTGTTTATTCATTAAAGCATCTAAAGGGCAGTGCTTGCATATACAGAATCAATTTATCCCAGCTCTGATAACTCCTGCTCTATTAATAGATACTAATGCTTTCTTTTCAAGGTATATCTATATTGCTGATCTGTTGGGTCATAATATTCACGTTATGGAAAAACATGCTAATTGGAATTTAACTCAAGTGAAGGTAAGGTCTTCTGGTTAGGAAAAGAGCCTAATCTGTCTGAAATTAGAGCATTGTTTATAAAAGTGCACCTGTTAGCATATTAAAGGCATAGAGAGTAGGAACAATTTTTTGTTTGTTTCCTTCTAATAAAAGCAACCTAAAGATAAACCTCCAGATTTGCCATTGATCAAGGCCTCTGCTGAGGCACAGTCCCACCAACTAATACAGAATCATAGAAAGTTAGGGTTGGAAGGGACCTCAGGAAGTCATCTAGTTCAACCCCCTGCTCAAACCAGAACTGTCCCCAACTAGATCATCCCAGCCAGGTCTTAAAAACCTCCAAGGAAGGAGATTCCGCCACCACCTCTGTGGGTAACCTGCTCTAGTGCTTTACTACCTACCCTCTTAGTGAGAAAACTCATCCTAATATCTGACCTAAACTTCCCTTGCTGCAATTTGAGACTGTTGCTCCTTGTTCTTTCAGCTGCCACCACTGAGAACAGTCTAGCTCCATCCTCTTTTGAACTCCTCTTCAGGTAGTTGAAGGCTGCTATTAAATCCCCTCTCAGTGTCCTCTTCTCCAGAATAAATAAGATGGACTGCCCTCTCTTGGACTGTCTCCAATTTGTCCTTTGTGTAGTGGAGTCCGAAAACTGGGCACAGTACTCTAGATGTGGCCTCACCAGCGCCAAATTGAGGGGAATAGTCACTTCCACCTCTCAGTCTTCTCTTCTCTAGACTAAATAAGTCCAGTTCCTTCAGCCTTTCCTCAGAAGTCATGATCCCCAGCCCCCTCACCATTTTTGTTGCCTCTGTTGGACTGTCTCCAGTTTGTCCAGATCCTTTCTGTAGTGGGGGAGCCCTAAACTGAACACAGTACTCCAGATGTGGCCTTATCAGTGCTGAATAGATAGAGGGGAATAATCACTTGCCTTGACCTACTGGCAACACACCTGCCAATTTAGCCCAGTATGCTGTTAGTCTTCTTGGCAAGGGCACACTGCAGGCTCATATTCAGCTTATTGTCCACTGTAACACCCAGGTCCCATCCTGCAGAGCAGCTGCCCAGCCAGTTAGCCCCCAGTCTGTATTGGTGCGTGGGATTGTTCAGTCCTAAATGCAGGACTTTGCACTTGTCCTTGTTGAACCTCATGAAATTCCTTTTGACTCAATCCTACAATTTGTCTAGGTCTCTCTGAATCCTAGCCCTACCCTCCAGCATATCTACTACTCCCCTCATCTTGGTGTTATCTGCAAACTTGCTGAAGGTGCACTCTAAGCTATCTTCCAGGTCGTTGATGAAACATTGAACAAAACAGGCCCCAGGACTGACCCCTAGGGCACACTACGTGATACTAGCTGCCAACTAGACATCAAGCCATTGATTACTACTCTCTGAGCCTGGTGCTCCAGCCAGTTTTCTATCCATTTTGTTAGAAGTAACTCCTGCTGACATCAAAAGGGAGATTTGTTAAGGGTGTGTTTTTAATCACTGTTGCTGACCTTAGGAATCCAGATGAAACATAAAGGAGAAGGTGGTCCTTATGGTACATAGGCCTTTATTGGTCAAAACTGACCTGCTCAAACGAACGCTGTTGCACTTGGAATGCTATTGGAAGCCAGTGCAGGTTTTAGAACACTAGAGTAAGATGTTCCTGATGATCTCCTCCAGTTAGAAGTCAGGCCACTGCATTCTGTAGCAGTTGCAGCTTTCAAATGGTCCTCAAGAGCAGCCCCAGGTAGTGCACATTGTAGTAATCTAGCTTTGGGTTTACAAAAGCATAAGGATGTAGCATATTTCACACATCTGTATTAGCTGAGGGATCCAGCTAACATGAGTGTTTCTATAAATGGCCCAAAATGGTTTGGTAATTGATCAATTTTGTAAAAACAAGGCCTAGGTGCTAACGTAGAAGCTGCATAAAATCTGGTGTACTATGGAATACGTGCACCAGATACTGCTTTGTTAACTTTTACTACTGAGGGGGAAACTGTTTGATAATAAACTTATGTAGTTGTTGCTGCAAGATGCATTCCTTGGATAAATGTGCTGATTATAAATTAATTAAAGAAAAAACCCCATGTAAATAGAATTTGTGGGGCTTTGGTGCATCCAGCATTTTTCATTTTTGCTTCCTCCCCTATTTGATAGGTGCTGCAGTTGGACACACTTATTGATAACTTATTTCTTGATCATTCTACTGGAGATATTTGGGCAGGGTGTCATCCCAATGGTATGAAGGTGTTTTTGTATGATCCTGAGAATCCTCCTGGTTCTGAGGTTAGTTTTATATGAGTTAATTGAAATGCTAAGCCTTCCTTATACTATGAAAAAATAAATCATATAGCCATTACTCATATTGGCTTATTGACACAATTTTCTCACTATAGGTGCAATTATAGAAGAAGAGAAATGTTTACATGGTGATACAGGAAGGGGAATAAAAGCACACCCTTTTATACTGAAATAACTACCAAAACAGGGGTTTGGCTATCTCTATTACAAACAAACAAACAAACAAACAACATGCTCCCCCCAATACTTATTCTTAGTCAAAATAGTTAAACTGTTACTAAATCTGTGTATAGACCCTCAATGTCTGTCTCCTAAGAGAAAATAAAAGGAGCATTTTGAACACGACTAGTGGGGAGTATGGTAGTTTTGCAAATGTGCCATGTTTGAGGCTAGGGACAGACATTTAAAAAGTCTGAGCCTGAATTGATTCAATCTTTGCAGGTTAGTCTAACCTGGCTAGGCTGAACTGGTTTGTAACCAGGCAGACATTCTCTGTGGACTGAGGAAATTCAGGCACATGCCTTCAGTGGCTCAGGCTAGAAGCTTGGGGGGTGGGGTGTGCTAAAGCAGCCTTCCCTTCCCTTCCCTTCTCTTCTACAGTACTGAGCTGAAGGGGAAGCATGGCCAGGCCCCAGCAAGACCTCTGATTAGGGAGGGGTGTAAATCCCCAACCTGCCTGCACTATCCCATGCTTTTCCCTGCTTGCTGCTCAAGGGGTGGGAGTGTTGCCAGCCCTCAGCTAGCACTCTGAAGCAAGGAAGGGTGTGCAGTGCATGCATCTGTTAATGATACAGAGCTTTTCAATCTCCTTCCCTGCTTCTTTATACTGTCTGCAGCAAACTGACAAGCAAGCAAGTCATCAGGGAGCTGATAACAGTGTTTATCAACTCATCAGCAAAACAATAGCCTCTCTTCATTAGTTCAGACTCTTAAACAGCTTACCAGATGACCTGTTAATTAGCTCCAAAAAGCCCTAAGTGGTCACTGTTCTGTCTGCCTGTCCCAGTGTAACTGAAGACACACACAGACACCTCTTGGCATTAGCTAGCATACCACATGCCTAGGGTCTGTGGGGCTGGTGCTCCTCCTGAGGGGGGAGGGGGGGCTTCCTGTTTGAGCAGCGAAGAGGGGGTAGGGCAGGGGGAAGCCAGGCAGACCCTGCTGTGCCTGCAAGTCCCTGCTGGAGCTGCAACCAGGGAGCAGAGGGGAAGGACCAGCCCTGCTGTGGAGCACAGAGCCCTGCCCAGCCCGGAGAGCATGCCGGGATGCTGGGGAAGTCTGGTTTATCTTAAACCAGCAAGGGGTCTGGGACCGACATTGCATAAACCGGTTTGACCCAGATCAGTAAAGTCTGCTACTACATTCAACCAGGTTTATCTCAAACCAGTTTCAGCCATTTTCAAACTGGTTTATGTGCACTGAACATCTGTTCTGTTATAGGTTTAAGCCAGTTTCTGATCACTTAAATCATTTTATATATAACGTCTGTCCCTAGCCTAAGAGAACACTTCTGTATGTTTTCATGAAGTATTACTGGTATCTCATTGTTTGGAAAAGATGGTAGTAATGCTACCAGTCATACAGCTTGTCAGCAAAACATCAGGTTTTCATAGTTTCGTACTAGTTTGGGGTCAGAAGGGACCTGAACAGATCACACGACCCCAGACAGGTCCAACTTCTTTTTGAATATACCCAAGGTAGGAGCGAGGACCACTTCCCTAGGAAGTTGGTTCCAGATCCTAGCCACCCTAACGGTGAAATAGTTCCTCCTAATCTCTACCCTGAACCTATTCTCCAGCAGCTTCTGGCCATTGTTCTTCGTCACCCCAGGTGCTGCTGGGGGGAATAGGGCCCTTCCTATTTGCTGCTGATCTCCCCTAACGAGTTTGTAGGCAGCCACCAAATCCCCTCTCAGCCTCCGCTTGCTGAGGCTGAAAAGGTTCAGGTCCCTCAGCCTCTCCTCATAGGGCCTGCCCTGTTGCCCTCCAGCCAAGCGGGTGGCCCTCCTCTGAACCCTCTCAAGGCAGGCCACATCTTTCTTTTGACTTTTCTCCCAGCTACAGTTAATGCTCCTGAATAGTAAAGAGAACTAATGCAACACCTCTGTGCTAATGTTGGCTGCTCAGAGCTAAAATCATATAGCTAAAATTCTGCCATACACCAGTGTTGTCCAAATTGTTTTTTGACATGTTGGTAGTCTGGGAGGCCATAAAGGGTGTGTAAATTATGTTAAGCCTTGTGCATCTTTGGAGAGTATTTAGTTAAAAGCTGCGTGGTGCATGCATAAAGGTGCATGGTGGTCTGTCAGAAATGTTGATAGTTGATGGTCTATTAGCCAAAGTAGTTTGGGAAACCCTACCATCCAGTATCCAGAGCCATAATCCTCACTGTCTTGGTAACCTAAATAAGTCTGAATTGGAAAATCAATTGAGCAGGAAGTCCCCTTTGGAGGTCTGAGCTGGAGAGAGTTAGGCATCCATATTCCTTTGACTTTCAGTAGGAGCTGGTATAACTTACTGTGGCTCCTTAGAAGATCCAGGTCAAAATACTTGATGTACCATTGCAGACTGGGGGTCAAGTAACTTGACTGATTTCTAAGAAATTGCATGAGCATTAAACTGGTGTAGTGCAGTGAATGACTGGTCTTGGATCATTTGTGGGAGGTGAAGTGGAAAGTGTTTCAGAACATCACAGACATGGTCAAGGAGATGGTACTGCTTCTTGTGTGGAGTCTTGTCTGTGCTATGATACCTACTTAATACTTTTTTGTAGACCTCATTTTCCCAGAAAGATAAAATCACTGTGTCATGTCCTAGACAGTGACACCATTTAAATCCTGTGCCAAACTGATGTGTATTAAGCAATACTCTATTTTAATAATACACAGCAGTTGGCTCTGCCCTCCAGAGCCCTCTTGTAGCTTCAATCCAGCTTTCTCTGCAAGTTATGTTCCATGTGTCCTATAGCTCCTGGCATTTGCTTTGGCTGAAAGAATCCCCCCATATGCCTGGGCCTTGAACTTAAACCCAGGCTGACTTGGACTTTTTGGCCTCATCCAGAGAAGGGACATGTGTTTCAAGTGGCACAAATTTGTGCTGATACTTTGTGTTGCAGTGCACACCCATGCACATGCCCTTTGTTGCAGGACACATTGTCCTGCAATGGGCAAACTGCCCATGCCCAGCTTTTTCTGGCTCCATGTACCCTGTGCTGAAGCAACTTGCACCCCACCAGCCAGGAGGTAGCACATGGAGATGGGGGAGCAGGCAGTCTGGGCTGCCTGTTCCCCTTTCTCTGTGTGCTACAGAGCCCCTGTGCTAAGGCACCTTGTGCCCCAGCCAGCCACTCTGCCGCTAGCTGAGGTGCAGGGCGCCTCAGTGCAGGGGCTCCCTGTCTCCATGTGCCTCACTGTGGGGGCTCTGCAGTGGAGCCTTTGTACTGAGGCATGCAGAAACAGGGCAGCAGCCAGCCCAGGGCTGCCTGCTCCCCTGTCTTGAGCCAGCTGGTTTGAGCCAGCTGTGGAGTGGATGAATGGGGCACAGTGTGCATCAGTGTGGTGGCTCCACTGTGTGCGGAGACGGGCTGTCTGCTCCTCTGTCTCTACGTTTGTCCCAGCACACACTATTTTTGTGTACTTTGTGATGCTTTTTTTCCCCAGGTTTTGTTTTTTGCTACCAGGAAATCCTGGTAGCAAAAGCTGCGCCCCCTCCTGCTGCAGGTTAGCAGTGCTGTGCACGGTTTAACATACAACGAATGCAGTTTGTGGCACCAAAAACGCATGTGTGGATATGGCCTGTTAGGGAAAAACCAAACGATATATTTTCAGCCAGATGGTGGAAGACTAGGACCTTTGTACAGAAAAGTAAGTGCAAAGCAGATAGGCAAACTGTTTTGCATTTTGGTTTACAAGATGGCGGCTGCCCAGAGTAGAGATGCTATCCCATCCATTGAAGTGTAATCTTTAAAAGCACTGAAGTGAGCTGGGAGCTTAGGTGATACTGACTAGTTTATTTGTTCTCCTGAATGACTTGTGTGCTTTGGAAAAACTCCACACCTGTTTCCTAACTAACAACTCATTGAAAAGAATAGCTCCTCAAAGACCTTGTAAGAGAAGAGACTGTTTGTTTCCTTCTGGAGTAGGGGGGTCGACCCTAACTATGGTTAAATAGCTAGAGCTGGCCAGCCAACATTGTATTAAAATGTGCTGGTGACCACTAGAAAAGTCTAATAGGTTACTTCACTAGGGCTTAACCTCTGGCCTGAAGGCCAAATCTGGTCCATGGGTCCGTGTCATCTAACTTGCATGGCTCCTCACAGGTCCAGAAATTTGGCAGCAGGGGAGCAGTAACAACAGCAATTGCTGCATCTCTGGAAGCTGCAGTAGTACACAGTGCCACTGCTTTACTGCTACCAAATTTCCAAACCCATGGGACGCTCTGCGGGCTGGACGATGTGACCCCCATGCCGGATCACACTGGTGCGTGGGGTCTCTCCACGGCCAGATGCAGTGCACAAGGCCAGACGGTTGAGCAGCATTGCTTTAATTGATACTGGGATCCTTGGTCATCTTTCTCTGCATTTGCAGAATAATTAAACTGAAGAAACTCATTTTAATTATTTACAAAAGCGGTGTTGGCTCAGGATAGAAGAGGTTAAATTTGTCCTTGTTTGTTCTTGTTTAATCTTTCAGTGTTTAATGACCAACTGTAAGCAACAGGTTGCAATCCTAGTTTACATTAAATAACACCTTGCCTCTGTGAGCCTCCCCACTAAAATTAATGGGATTACTTGCAGATTGAAATACTACTTGGTGTGAGTAAGGTGGGTTGAATCTGGCCTGCTGATTTTAACTTTTCTGAGCTTTTGCCATTAGCAAGGAACTGTACTTCTGGCAGAATCTGACCTTTCTGAAAGGTTGACTTGACATCAAAATGGGATCACTAAATAGCAGGAGAACTTATCTTCAGAATTTTTGAGCCCTTCACAGGACTGCTGTGGCCATATTTCTGAAGGATGCTTGAAAAATTGGAAAATGCTTAAAAAAAAAAAAAGAAAGAAAAGAGAGAGGATTTGAAGTCCAGAAAATCATCCCTTCCCCTGAGAGACTAGAGTTCAGTCTACCTAGCCTATCAGAGAGAAGGTTTTAGAGGTGACTTGATCCATAAATATCTTTATGGGGAAAAAAATTCTGAAATTGGGAGGTGACTGGGGAGGGATTAGTTTAGTGGATAAGAGTATACCTACATCCAGCTGCTGGAAACAGAACCAGAGCAAATTCATGCTAGAAGCAAGGTGCAAACTTCCTAACTGCGAAGGTAATTTAGCTGTCATAACTTATCAAGGAATGAACAGTTCTCTGTCACTAGAGCCTCTGAAACGAAGATTTGGCTGTCTTTCTGTAAATATACTGTAGGCACCCAGAATTTGTTGTCTCGATGCAGAGATAACTTGGTGAAGTCCTGACTTGCATTATGGAGCAGTTCTGTTTTCTTTTTTTTAGCCATAATGATCTACTTTGTTAAATTCATGTAAATAGGATATTTGAGTTAATTATATTAAAATACTTATGAAACATCACCTCTGTGCTAGCCTTTTGATACCTCCAAAAGTAACATATGTCTTAACTGGATGGACCTCTTCCCTCCTTAGGTTCTCCGCATCCAGAACATTTTGTCTGAGAAGCCTCTGGTGTCCCGAGTATATGCTGAGAATGGGTCTGTGCTTCAGGGAAGTTCTGTTGCAGCCGTGCATGATGGGAAGTTACTCATAGGCACAGTCTTCCACAAGGCTCTCTACTGTGAGCTATAGTTTGCTCTGGACAGACTTTTGTTAGAGGGGAGAGTTCAATTTGACATAAACTTTTGCACACGTCTTCTAAATTTGATAAATCTAAGATGTTACAATAAAGGTTTAACCAGGGTCACAAAATGTATTCCTTGCCTTCCTCTCCAAAAGGTAATAACATACAAGAACTACTCAATAGTGATAGGAAATGGGATTTAAAGATGAAAGTGGTGGGCTTTGGGCTTTCTTGACCTGCAAAGGTTTCATGCCATTATCAGTATAGGCAAATGTAGATTAAAATGGGTGAAGCATTCTTTGGGCCTGCTGTTATCAACTGTGATCAGAATTTAGAAGTCTGTTTCCTTCCCAGTGCTGGGAAGGTTAATCTTCTCAGTGCTTAAAATAATACAAGGAGTGCTGAACAACCAGGTGTCTTAGTGTGTGGGTGCCTTTTGAGCATTAATTCAAAATACTTTTGAAGATATTTTTGAATTTCCTGTCCATTTTCTCCAGGCTTCAGAAATTATTTATAGGGGGACAGGGGCCACGTCTTCATTTCTCTTCTTTCCTGATTAGTCCCTTTTTTTAAAGGCATTTCTAGCATTTTTGTCACACTTCTCCTTTTCATGAACTTGTTTGACATTTACTCTGTCTTTTGTAGGAGATTATAATATGGGGTTTTTGAATGTAGCCTTCAGAAATGAGTTCAGAATATCTCTTTCTGGAAAGGCATCAGCTTTTCCTCTTATGTGAAAAGTGCCTTGGAGGCTACATTATTCCTTTTTTCAGCAAAACGCAGGATTTTGAAGGCTTTTCTGCAAAAACTACCTCTGGATCTAAGTATAGTTTGTATTCTGTGTGCGATTGATTTTTTTTCAACCTCTATAAATTGTACCTGTCTAGCTTTTATGCTGTCGAAACCAGTTAGTCAATTATTGGATGGAGTTTGCTTACTCATGGTGTGTCATGAGGCAGTTATGAATGGTAATGTTGTAATATGCATTGCAGAAAGACTTGTCTACATTTCCATGAAGTGCCATTTTAGAGCAATGCTTAAATAACATGCTTCCAATAAAAGGGATGAAAAATGTGTAACCTGGTAAGTTGTGTTGAAGTACTTGTGCTATACAGTGCAAATGCCAAAATGTTAACTCCAAAAGTAGATGTAAGAACCTCTGATTTAAGAGAGGAGGTAAGTATTTATTTCCTATGGAGCAGGATATTCTGTTTGTGGGAACATCTATGAACTCCTGCAGCTCCTCTAAGTTCCACCTGATTATTCCTCCATTTCTGAGAGACAGAGGGTGGCTTAAACAGCATGCCCCAATCTTCCATGGCCATTACATTCAGTGGGTGACTCTGCACTGTATGATAAGGACTCTCAGGCGTCATTTTGCTGCTGGTTGGCAGAAACTCACAAGGCTTCTGCAGACTAGAACTGCCAGAACGGCTGTTTGGATGACGAAGTCAGGCTGTGCCTTTGGCACGATGCTTGCAAGCCTGATATGCCTTTTGTGTTCTTTCTAGTAAGATTTGATTCCCTTACGAGCTAAATCACTTTTCTCTGTTTCTCTGTCAAGGTTCTTGTCAAGTCCACTTTGGATGTGGAGTTGATAACATCTTGGTTTTTAAGCAGAGTTTTTAAGCACTGATATACTCTGCTTTACTTTCCTACTCTGACCCTTTCATCTGTAAATTGGGAAGCATAATGCCAATTGGACAGAGAAGTTTGGAAGAAGGATTGCTTTGTGCAGTCATCTGAAACTGTGAAAGAGCTGTATTTGTGCAGGTTGCTTTTGCTATCTTGAGAGGATGCTGTGCTGTAGTGGACTTGGACAGGAGGAACTGTCTACCTCTGGTGTGAGGGTGGAAACAGTCTTATGTGTTGTGCTTTCACAGCAATTACAGGCTGACAAAGCTTTGGTCTTGGTCCCTTAGTCAAACAAAATGAAAGCTTCCATGGGAGAAAAAGGGAAAATTAGGAGCTGTAGGGTCATGATAGACCTTTACTAGGTAAAGCATGAAAAGTTCTGGTAAAATTTTAAACAGTAATGACTTATGAGGATTTTTTAAACCCTTATATATTAATATACTCATAGAACTGTTAGACATTCCCTTACTGCCTGCTGCTGTCAGTTACTCTGTTTCCAAATTTCTCCCTGCTTGCCCTTGGAGCAACTCAGCTTGCTGTAGAGATGCTACTTGCCTGTGGGGAAGAGCACTGGATAGATTAGACAACTCAGTGGAATGTTACCAGTAAGTTGCACACGGCTCTACATCACCATAGTAACACACTACGGTGATGTAGCATCTACAGGTGTCTGCATGTGACCACTAGCTACTTCCCTGTAGTGATGCACTGCCCCTTGTATAGTGTGCTACTATGGCGAAGTAGCTGCTAAAAACAACCATGCATTGCATGCACAGTGCAGTATGGGCTGTTACTGTGCCGTGATTTAGTAATTCTAAAAGGAAGTACTAAATCACGGGCAGTAACATCGCCATAGCAACACATGTAGACATGCTCAAAGGGCCTAAGGATAAGCTGCGAAAAGGATTAAGGTCACAAAAACCTAGCCAAGTGAGGAAGACTTATTTCTGCAGTATTGGGTAACTTAATCAAGTTGGCAATAGCAGCTGGGTTCAGGTTACATTGCTTATATAAACATCAGACTTCAAAGAGCTGATTTATTTGTGGCCTATGGTCCAAAGAGAGCTCAAGGCAATGGGCCTGGGTATGGACCAGCACTATCACTTTCCCCAGCAAGTACAGATTCAACTCTGTACTCTTCTCTGCAAGACTCCCTTGGCTGTAGCAAAAGGAGGAGGGGGCATGACCAAGGCCATCCTATGACAGGTCATTGCATGACTGCAGTAATGCTAACAAAGACCGTGACTATTAAAGCACAAATTAGGACAGGCCCAGTTGGATTATCAGTTTTTAAAGCCCCAGTTTAGATATTGGAAAGTGCAAATTATTGCAGATTATGTTGCTGGGGCCTAAGATGTGCCAATATGAAGTGAGGCAATGGGACAGAGGGGAGGTATACGCTGGTTACAACTGCTGTAAGCTGACTCCCTTTTGGCTCCTTCCCAGATGTGGCATCAGCACCAGGACAAACTTGATCCTGAGAAGGCACCTTGCAGTAACTCTTTCATGGATTGCAAAGGTCTCCCCAGAAATTTCTCTCACAGGACTTTTTTTCTCTGACTTAATAGGAAGGGTTTGAATGTCATGGGTGATGACAGATGTGAGGAGAAAAAAAACAAGCACCTTACCCGAAAAGGAAGTGCATTAACTCAACCCGTCTCCCCAGCGTCTATATCGATTGGGTGCCTCAGTGAGGCTTTTTGGCTCTTTTATCTAACAGCTGATTCAATCAGGTATTAGATAAAAGTGCCATAAAGCCCTGCTGAAGTGCCCAGTTTATACAGATGTTGGGCAAACTGTGGCAAACTAATGCAGTGCCTCTTCTGGGCATGCGCAGTGTGGGGGCGCACCAAGTTTAAAGCTTTGGTTTTTTGATGTTTGTAAGCAGCCCATGAGTTTCTTCCCTGCTCTCTCCTCCCCTCCCCACCCTTCCCCCATGTACCTCCCATCTCTCCAAAAGACAAACTTTACTATTTTTGTGTAAAGCTAAACATGACACGTCTTGAAGTAGAATCAGTTCTAGCATTGTGTTCAGTCCATAAGAATTGCATTTAGGCAGTAATTTAGTATGTGAACTAACCCGGCAGTCTATTTTCACACAGATCTTTGCCTGTGTTTCCTGATGAGTGCAGGAAGTATGTGCCTTGACAATCTTCTGTAATTTTACTTGAGAATAGCTAGTGACATTGGTACCATAAATGTGATCTGAAATGCACCATCATCACCAGTGTTAACATTTAGCTTAGTCAGCTGTAATATTGGCAACTGTGACTATTCTTCCAATATTGTTAAAGAATTATATTGTAGAAGACAAAAATTGTGCCACCATGTTCTTCTACATTAAAGCCTCATCAGGTGCATGTCTAATCACTTCAAGTTTCTGTTTTGTCAGATCCCCCTCACTCCCATTTTTATTCTCTCACCAAGACCAAAGTCTAAATAAAGCGTATATTTGACCCTGGTACCTGTTTCTGCATCAACTCTACCACTGACTGCAAAATGTGTGTGTTGCTAAAATGTTGCTAAAATTGCTCTATCGTGTTTAGGATTGGGAGAAGCAGCAGAAGTGTCTGTAGCTAGTCATTTTCTTTTTTTTTTAAATTGCAATTTGCTGGAGAAAACTCACAGCAGGTAGAGACTCATTCAGACTTACAAGGCATCTTTGTACACATTCGTTCACAGCACTTCTGTTGGGCTTACCTAGGACTCTCAGTTTGTCTGCTGCCTTGTACAAGAGCTGACCTTGCTTTTGTCCTAAGCTTCAGTTCTCTAGGGGTGAAAGCAGCTCCTCTTTACATCACCAGGGTTACTTTTAGGTTGTTTGATCAACTGATAACTGAGAAGAATCACGAAGTACCTTCAGGCTGCATGTATAGTCATCTTTAAAATAGCTTAATTGTACAATAGAAATATGATACTTTGTACATACCACTGTGTTTAAAAGTTATTTGTAGTAGGATGTGCCATGGTAAAATGAGCCAGGGCCCTATTTTTGCAGAAGTTTTAAGGCAGTCCCAGCTGCCTTAAATTGTTCAAGTTCCCCCTCCCCTGCCCCCAGGGCAGTCTGAATTTATGGTTGTGCTTCTAGAATTTGCATTGCAAGGCAAGAAATGGCATGTCTAGACTATGCCTGGGAGCACCAACCCATACAAAATCTTGGGAATGAGGCCATGTGACTACCTTAGAGAGGTGCCCAGCATGTTTCCTGAGACCACTGGTGTAGGAGTAATACTGGGAGTGTGCTCAGTGCCTCTCAAAGGCAGCTACTCTTCCTGCTCTGACTCCTGTCGTTCCCTGCCCCTTCCCCCCCAAGTGTGGTGGACAGAATGACATACTGCAGATAGAAGTTTAACTACAAACAGCTACAGCTACAACTTGTTAAGTGTTTCAGCAGCTCCTAAAGTGGGGGAACAGTATAGAATGCAAGATGCCTCTAAAAGTCCCTTCCACCTGGGAGATTTGGATCAGAAATGCTACATGATAATGACATTTTCTTTCCCCCTTTAAATAATGCTAAGTTGAATATTATGGAATGAATATATATTTTTTTCAACATAGCATAAAGTGCTACTTGCAGCACACAGGAATGGCCTGCGACTGACTCATCCTCCCAGGGGGAAAATGCCAATAAAAAAATGTATTCCATGGCCTTGGGCCAGAAACTCACAAAGTGAGGCATCTACCTTACCTTCTGCGCTCAGCAGGAGAGATGTGGTAAGGCTCTGGAAGGATGTGGAATTGGATGTGGAATTGGTGAACAGAAACTCTGTGACTTAGAGACTGGAAAGATCCTCCAGCAAGTAGAGGGACTACAACTGAAGAAGACAGAGTGCTTCTGCAGAGGGAAAAGGCTGAAGGCATAGAGCTGCAGTACTTAAGATGCCATTACTATCATCTTTGGATTAGATTAATCAAGATTTGGGTGCCTCAGTATTAGGTGTTTCACCTGCAGTGGAATCCAAAACCCAGAGTAGCTGCCTAAGCTCCCTGTACAGTAAGTAGGGAACATTAAGGCTAGGGACAGACATTCAAAAAGCCTGAGTCTGAATTGATTCAATCTTTGAAGGTCAGTTTAACCTGCATAGATTGAACCAATTTGCAAGTGAACAGACATTCACTGTTGACTCTGGAAATGCAGCCACATGTCTGCAGTGGCTCAGGCTAGAAGCTGGGTGGTGGTAGAGCGAGCCCCCCCTTCCCTTCCACTGCAGCTACAAGGCTGAAGGGAAGCTGATCTGGGGAGCATAGCCAGCTCCTCCAACCCTCCCTGCAGGCTACTACATATGATAGTGGAGGGGCTTAAACCCCAACCCTGGCCTGCAGGGACCCCAGCTGGCATATGCCTGGAGGGGGAGCGGGGAAGCAGCCCCTGCCAGGCTTGTCCCTACTTTTCCATGATTGTACATTTCGATTTAGTGAAAAGGAGGAAAAGAAGAATTAAGTGCAAGTCACCCGAAGTAGAACTAACAGACTGAAGCACTTAGCATTCATTCTGAAATGAAATAGGAGGGAAATGGGGAATGACAACTCAATAAAATCTAATAATAAGTTTCAGAATTTACTTTATTGCATTCGTTGTCTAACAACAATAATACTCGTTGGCAAAGAATTTATTTACACTAACAAAGTTTAATCACAGGTTTTTCTTTTTTTTCTAATTCGTAAGAAAACAAAGGGCCACCATGATGGTTTGCTTTGAATGCTTTCAAGTAACCAAACATTAAAGAATGTCATTTTTGGAAATCCAGCAATCTAGAGAAGTACATATTAACCAAGCACAAGAGAACAAGCTCAGACATGGCACTATTGTGTCTTCCATGCAGATGATTAAACACCGAGATGTACAAATTAAAAGTTCAGGATAACATGCAATTCATACACATTTGACCTTAAAAGATATCTGAAGCCAACCACCTCTCCCCATAAGAAAGAAACAATAAAGCCAGTTTTTACAGTGGAGCACAGTACATTTTTGTTTTAGCTGCCTGCTCTTCTAGCAATATGTATAACACTTGTAAATTACCAGTGATTGATCATTGCAATATGACTGAAAAATACAAAAGCAGTAATTATGATAGTAAGTGTAACAGGGAAAGTATACATATAAAGATATACTTAAAAGACGTCCATTGTGCCCTGAATCCTCTTCATTTTAGAAGGATTTGTTTTTTCCTTCTCTTTGGCACCACATAGTTGTTGTTTTAGACACTTTATCATTTAGAGCTGATTCTGCCTTCTTTGGGGTCCATGGCAAAACTTATTGAGAGCAATGGGAGCAAGATTAGAGCTTGCCCATGTAAGGGCTGACACTCTCACCTCTCTCTATCAAAGCCAAACAGCACGGAAAGCGCCCACCACATGATCAGACCTAATAAACTAAACAACCTGCTCTTCACAAAGAGCCCAAATTTCCCAAAACAAGCAGCACAAAGAACTAAGGGCAAAACCTTCCAACAACATGCACCCGTTCAATCGTTATTTAATGGCTATTTTAATCGTTATTTAATAGCCTAAGTCCCAGCCCTGCTGTCATTTAACAAAATAAACCATATATTATGATCAGGAAGGAACTTGAGGGCTCAATTTCATGGCTGTGCTTCAACAGCTTTCAAATAGGGCAGGTTTAAACTGTAAGAAAATATACAATAAAACATGTACAGAACTTCAAGTAAAAGACTTTCAATTTGCAAAAGACCTATAGCTGACTGTGACGATTGAATAAGACTTCTGAGTCACTGTCCTGCACCATTGTAGAGCTGCTCACAACTCAGACAGACAGAAAGCAAAGTCAAGTTTACAAAATATAAAAAAGGGTTTTTCTTTGCATAATACTAATTGTCTAACAAATTAATCCTGCCAAAAAAGACAAGGACAACCGGCAGAAAGACCTACTGAGGAATGTTCTCTTTGTGGTTTTAATAAAACATTTTTGTTTAAAATCTTGTGAAACATCAAATATATAAAATATAGCAAGAAAACCACGAGGCAGGCTCCAAGCACATCTAGGAGTTAGAGTACTGGTGGTACAAACTACCACTGCTTTGCTCTTATAAATTTCCTGATGTTATCAGAACCCCTGTATGTGTGTATTATGTTTGTATAGCCCATAGCTCCCAGTTACTTACATCCTAACTGCTATGAATCTACCTCTTTAATATACATTTCCATGTGTATTTCTGTACAAACACAAATGCATACAGACTTGTTAAAAAAGCCCACAAACTACAAATTCCATCACTTAAACATTTCCATGTTTAGAAACAGTACATTCTTTGATTATGCTGGATCAACTAAAACCCCCCTGGCCTTTTCCATATCATTTCAGCTACTACAGACTTTCAAACATGTGCCATCTGGGTTTTCAATTGCTTCCATTTTTTCAGTGTTTTGGACCAAGTCATGGGTTTCCTGAGATTTTTAAAGCTTTAGGTCAAAAGCTAGAAGCAACATTATCTGCACTATATCTGAGGGCTAGCACTGGACTATGTATGTATTGTTTAAAAGATCCCCTCTCACTGTCACTGACCTCAGTGGTAAAATTGTAGGATCAAAAACTGCATGCATCTCCCACTGACATACAACAATTTTTGATACATTTGAAAATGCTAAGAAATTAGTCCTGAATCTGAATGTTTTCTTTCCTTAAATACCAAACAATACAAATGGCCCTTTAAGACACTATAAAGAACAGAACTATCACACGCCCTTCCTTTTGATTTTCAGTTTCACAACTACATTTGGGTAGGATGCTAGCCTATAATGGTAATTCCCAGCCACACATACACATAATGACACTTCTTTCTTTGCCTGCATTAAGACCTCATTCTGCCTTATCGATGACAACATGTATTTATCTCTGACGTCAATGGGAACACATCTCATCTAAGCATAATCGCACAACTGCTGCCTTCTTCTCAGGCAGCTGTGCAAGCTGTAAGCAGCAACCGTTGATAAGCTAGCAACTTTGTCACTGTCTCCATAGTAGCAAGCCCTTGGTGTGTAGTTGAGGTACTGGGAATCCATGCTGCCAGGTACTGACCACTGCGAACTCCCACGGAAACTGAACGGGTGCTGAGAAAGGCCATTCTAGAATTCCTGGGAAAAAAATCTTGCTTAGAAATAATAGCATCTTCCCAGCAGGTTCTGAGTCATGGCACAATAAATGTCTGTCAATATGAAGCAATCTGCGTAAGCTGAGATATAAACATAAGTCAGCTCCCTTTGGCTTTTTTATTACTCCTTCTCCCTCCCCTCTCCCCCTCATTATTCAGGTTTTAGCCATTCCCTGTGGTGGGTTTTATTCCTATGACCATCAGCTCTGCAGGGCCAGCCCAATGAAATGCAAAACCAATGGACAATACTATTCTATTATACAAAGTGAAATGGGTCCAGTTCCTTGCTGTCTTGACTCTGGGGTAGTCATTTATATCTGTGTACAGTGAGCATATAATATCTGTGCAGCCACAACATAAACCAAGGTGTTAATGGCTCCATGAAGTTCCAGGCAACAGAGAACCAGGCCTCTGTGTATTTGGCAGTTTTGGAGCCCAAATCATGACTGCTTGCTCCAGAGTGGTCCAATGCCAGTTGAAGTTTCTGAGGCTAAAAGCTATGAGCACCTGTGCATCTTTCATTTAGTACATTTTAAAAATCTCTCTGCCCCTCTGCTTTCTTCATTGTGCCCCATTCTGTCACAGCCTTGGCAGCTGGATGATGTGCATAAATAGAGAATAGGGGCATCAAGCATATTGACCAAAGCAGGTCCAGAATTTACAGAACAGAGTGGTAGTTTAACCAGCCAGCTGGGATTGCCTCAACTGTGTACAGCTGGCATAGGATATGTGACTGGAATATTGAGGATGCATCCAGGGTACCGATGTGCTCCAAGAGTACCTAGCAGTCAAAAATGGGGCTGCTCTACGTTGCTCTTCTGGTCTGTCCTGACGACTGGTAGCCCAAGTATCAGAGAGCTGCTGACTCTAAACTAGCTGAGTCACATTTGCAGCTGATCTCAAATCACAAGGTGTATTGGGTATACAAGAAAAAAGCCACCTATTCATTCAGTACAGGATATTTGCTCATTCTGTTCCATCTTGTGACACGCTATTATAATAAGCATTGTTCCTATGAGATATTTAAGGTGGCAGTGGTTAATGCATTTGTACTCCTTTATTTCAGATAGGTCATTTCAAAAGAGGGGAAAGAAAAATGTAAAAAAAGCATATTGGTCACAAACATTGTAATCCAGTCACACTGTTGTATGTCCCAAGCCTCGAATTCTATCCTTTATTAAAAGGAATAAAAAGTATACCTGATCAAGGAAGAGTAGAACTCATGACTCTGGTTGGTCCCCTCTGTGCTTTCACACATTAGTCAATTTGTATTTAAGAATGTATTGTTCAATCTAAGCTGTTCATTTTTTCTAAAATTCAATTAATTTCAAACAAAAATTACAAAGTTCAAATATACCATTTAGCTGACATTTCATTGAAACAATAAAAATCTGAATACTTACAGTGCATGAATCAAATTAGTTATCTGTACAATAAGACGCTAAGATTAACTGACACTAGGAAATGAAAAAATCAAACATATCACATACCAGTTTGCCTTAGGCTTTTAAGAAAACATAAATAGAATACAACCACAGACTACTATATACAACCACTTAAAACATTATCATAATGTAAACATAACTTAGAAAATAATAATCTAATGTGTTTATCAACATTTTATTTAAAATAGTACTTTTCCAGTTCCTTCCCAACAATTAGTTTTTTCCTAAATATAACCTTATACCCCCTAAAACAACTAAGCACTAGTTTCATCAGGTCTCTACTACACTTCAGTATAATTTTTTTTTAGAGAAGGGGGACAGAAAAATACATCTGAATTATTTCAGATAAGTTATACTTCTGCTGTAGGGACTCTCCTCCTCTCAGGCACCATGAGAAGAGGACCATACCAAGACTTATCCTACTAGGAATATCAATGTTTAGACATTTTAATACCATGTCCTTCATGGAAGTTTCACTACTTATTTCAATGATGTTCAATGAAGCATAAACAAAAAGCAAGTAGAAATTGGATTTGGAAACAAAACTCAAGCCATTAAGTAGAGTTGTCATGTGTTAATACTAAAATGAGGAGTGTCAAGTTATGTAGTAAATTTTACATCTAAAAGAAACTTTTAGGATTAAAATGAATACTTAACATTACATATTAGTGAATATATATAACCATAACCTCCTGCTTTGCAGATTTCAGAAATCTGAGCTTCAGAAGAGTTTTACAAACAACTTTCTGAACATCAAATCTGAGGCAGAACCAGAACAAATGTTTCTTTAAAATCATTCAGCTTTTGTAGTTAATTTTCAAAGCAGCTGACCCTTCTGATTTTAACTTCATGTCGATAGACAAGAGTTAACTGCTGATTAAAAGAGATTGTGATTGATGTCAGTATTTATGAGATGCAGAAAATGGAAATGACATTGCCGAAACTTATAGATGTTACTACCAAGTAACTTCAACTTCAAAACAATCATGTAATATCTTCAACTTCCCATCAAATAAGCTTGTTTCTTTGATGAAGTGTTGACTATTGACTATTTTAATACTGGCTATTAAGAAACTGTAATAACATACAGTGCCAGATTACACTGTTTGCTTCTCAGACAAATCTAAACATTAGAAATCTGAAGTATGTAGCATGACCATCAGTCAAACTATCCAAGCATTCTACAAAGTATGTCTTCATGTTGAATTTTTAGTGGGGGTATTGCGTAGATCCTCTACTCAAAACACGCCGTGCATTTCAAGTTTGCATTTAGCAGCCGCCTTCTGTGTTATAGCATTGTACAGTAGTAGTTGATCATAACAGTAATGAACCTTGTTTTATTTCAACCAGAAGTTTCCTCCTCCTCTTTTTCTTTTTTATAAAGTGCACTTTGAAAACTGAAACCTTTACAAAATCAAATTTGGAGATCATTTCAGCAGATAGTATTTAATTAGATCACAGCCCTGTAACACCAGAATGCAAAACTCATTCTCCCCTGACCCTCACTGGAGACTGAACCTAGAAATGTGGAATTTTCCTCAAAAACCAAAGTAAAATAAAAAACAATTTCTGGTTCAGAGCCAGCTGGAAAAGGAACCTCCTGGTTTACTACGAAGAGGTTTGCTTACATGCACTGGGAGCACAAGAAGTGGACTCTACCGATTTTCTATACTCAAGTTAGAATTTCAATTTTCCTTAATTATATGGAGGATAAATATTACCCTCAGATCTCCATGTAAACCCACATAATCATTTTAAGGCGCTGAGTTCTTCCTTGGCTAACTACTGTCCAGTTAAGAGTGTTATCATCTTTTTGCCCAGGAAGGATATTGACTCTTCTATCTTTATCTCCTGTGTATAATTAGAAGTCACTGAACAGCTATGTTTTCAAAGCAGTGTCACTTCAAGGTACTCAAGTAAGATGAAATCTGTTCCAGTTGACAGAACAGGGTATGGAGAGAAGATGGCATTCCAGTTAGATGAGTCAGTTGTACCAGATATGGGGATAACTCCAGTTACCCAGTTTCATATATATTCACTGATCGTTCTGATTGACCATCCCATTCACAATGTCATTGTGATGCATCACCTGTGATGCTTTGTCACAATGACTGCCGAGGTGACCAAACATGAGTAGCCCAATGCAGGATAGCAGTTTGAAAGGGAAAAAACCCCAAACAGGGTATCTAAATAAAACAATGGAGTTTGGTTGTTTAGCAAGTCAATACCAAGAGCAAGATCTGGACCTGCAGGAAAATGCAGTTACACAGTATGAACTTCCCCATTCACTCTGTTTATATCATCATTTATGTGTACATATTCCTGTGTGATGAACACAAGATTTGAGGGGCACCACAAAGAGTTGCTTCCCTTGAAGTGTCTCCAAGTGACTAACATCTTGGTGGTTCTGCTTTGTCATTGCTCATTAGCTCCCTCTGTTGTTTCTGTCAAAGACTTGTCTGTTTTCTTTGATTTCCTATGCAGCTGCTCTTGTTCTTTCTTCCTAAGCTTCTCCCTTTGCTTTTCCATTTTTTCTTGGGCTTTGCGTGCTTTTTCTATGGACATTTTCATTTCTTTTAGCTTTTTTTTAACAACTGCTCTGTCCTGGGAAGATGTCATGCCAAGGGCCTAATATTTAAAAAATGCAATAAAAAGAAAATTAAAGAATTCCATATTATGAACAGATTATGGACCTTCTGATAACAATGCTGTTAAAGTAGTAGACTACCAAAAAAAATGAACAAATTTTGAGTTAAAGTCACAAAGGAAGTAGGACTTCATAACCCCAGGTTAAATAACAATACTCTGCTCTTTCTGCCCATGGAGTACCTTCTGCACGAAGCACTCCAGCTATTTTATAAAATATGCAAGAACATCGCTAAAAACCATTAAAGTAGGGAAATTTGGTTATCTTAATATTATCAAGAGAAAATTTGAGGGATTAAAAAGGTAAGTGATTCGCTCAGAGCAACTCAAGTCTATGGCTGAGATAGATCTCAAACCTCAGATTTCCTTGTTCCCATTCCTGTGCTTTAGCCAAAAGACCATATTTTCCTTCACAAAATAGTTTAGAACTACAGAAAGGTGAAGGCCTAAACTTGAATAAAGGCAATAAGTTATGGATTTCCAATGTAGGATAAAAGGGTTTGATTTTTAGAGATGCTGATTCCCAAACTCAAATTTGTATCCATTTTATTCAGTGATACATTCATTTTCATTGCAGTATATTAAAGTAGATTTTAGACATCAAAGCTTCTAAGCGATTCATCTAGTTCCTGTATACTACTTACTGTAAATGCTGTCAAACCATTGCCTGATAAGTTTTGTAGAAAAATGTGTGGGAGGAAGAAACACAATAATGAAGCATGTGAAACGACTGGTGAAAAAAGGCAAAGCAATCACCAGTTGTCCAGCACTGTATCCTCTCTCTGGGGTTTTCCAGCCCACGTGAATTACATTTTTACAAAATGGTGGTGGATGCAGTATATGTGCATGGAAATACCACTTGCACATGCACTCATCTGATTTGTGCAGCTAAACATGAGTACATTGCATGCAACCCATTTTTATATAGCAAATAAGCCTCAAATGTTTAAAAATCTGGCTTTTTGCACTATATTTATTACTCTAGTTTATCTTCATTCCACATGCAGAACTCTATTGTATTCCTGAAGACTTCCTGCTGTACAATTATCTCCAGCAACAATGAATAATTTTTGAGTCAAGAGACTCAATTACCTTAAGTTTATTCCCATCCAGCTGAAGGAGATGCTCTCCATTAATATTTTGGGCACTGAATTCAGAAACATACTGTTCAAGATTCAGGCTTGTTAACCAGTGGGAAACCTGCTGTATGCTCCATTCCTGAACAGCACGATTCTGACACTGATTGTGTTTAGGAGACTGTCCATCATCCAGGATCTGAGACAGAAACATGCTACATTATAATTAAAAAAGCAAGACTCACTAATAATAGCATATTGTGCATACCATCCACACTGTAACAATTTCTATTGTCTTCCTTACACAACATCAGCAAGATACACCATATATAATTGGATGTACCTCCGTATCTAGGAATCAATTTAATGAGACTAAAATAGCTTAATAATTCTAGTTTTCTATTTACAGGCACAAAAAAGGAAGTAGCAGATGATGACTCAATAGAGCCATGTGGCACAATTCACAATGGGTAGTTTTCCATTAGCTCTCAAAGTTTAAAGTTTGAGCGTGTTGGTGGATTTCTAAGTACATAGAATGTACTTAGAAAATTAGTCTGGAGTTCAGGATGAAATCATGGCGCCACAGATCCACTATTATCACTGGAGGACTACAAGAAGACATATGGACAACAGGACAGAACAAACCAAGAAGCCACATCCTTGAAGCTGTTCTAGCCACTGTGCCTCTCAGGAAAGCAATACTAAAGGATGCAGCTGGAGATTCCTGGGTGTCTGCTTAATGCACCATTCTCTGCCAGTTTGCTCTGGCATAAGACAGCAGGGGCCAGCCTTTCTGGAAGGCAAGTCACAAGTTCTGTACACTCCCTGTCCCCAAGTCCCACTCAGATCCCTTTCCCCTGCCTGATAAGCTGCTCTGTTTTCTGCACTGTCTGATCAGTTAGTCTGCCTGCCCCATCTGTCACTGCGTCCCTGCTCCTTACTGATCTGCTATGTACCACACAAGAGGTATAGGGGGCATGTCAGTGGGGGTTGGAAAACACAATGTTCCCTGGTCAGGACAGCAGCTGCAGATGGCATAACTTGAGAAGCCTTCAGACTGGTCTAAATGGTGCCAGAGGCTGTTTCAACTCTTAGCCATGCTTTTTGGTGAGGGATGGAAAAAGATGACTTGACTCTACCTTTTGCCTACCTCATGCCAGGCATGAGACCAGGACAGCCCAGTGTATTTGTTTACAAATACAACTTTTGTCTTTCCTCTCCCCCTACACCCACAAAGATGACAATTGGCTATAGCCTTGAAAACTATAGCAAGAAGGGTTTGAAAAGGAGAGAAGAACCAGTAAAATTTATGGGTTGTGCTGTTGTTTGAACAGGGAAATTTGCTACACAATGGAGTAAGACAAGAAATGCAAGTCTGCAAATGAGACAAGAAAGTACCACACCAAGGTTACACAGTCCACCACAAACAGCTCACTAGTATCTCACCTCATCATCAATCATATCCAGGCTCTGAGTGAGGGAGCAACAAAGAAATGGGAAAAGAAAATCATTATAGAAACAAAACAGAGAATATGTAACGGCATGTAAGAGAGTTCAGCAAAGGCAGCATCAAGATTTGCAAACGTTATGGCTATTGATAAACAAAGAGATCTTAAAAACTATTTCCAGAAACAGAAAAGTTATGTTAAAAGATCAACAACCAAATGCATGAATTAATTGTAATTAGGGCCTGATCCTGTGCTGCTGAGGTTCACTGGAGCTCCCAGCAGTGTAGCACTAACGTCAATGGGAGCTTTGCCCAGGACCTCACTGGAAGCAGCAAAAGACCCTTGTCTATGGTCTATCAAGTAGAAGAAGAAGGTGGTTTCCTTCTCCCTGCTTTTCATACTTTTTGTTTCTCTCAAGTGGTTATGGCAACCCCAGCAGAGGAGTGTAGGTGAAAGATCTCCAGCAGTTTCACTAACAATCCCAGCTGACAGCAAGTAAGCCATGGCTGAAGATGGATCCTAGCAATGCCCTGAGTAAGGAGGTCTGCGTACGGTTCCTACAACAGCTCTGAATGGATACTTGCTGAGTCAGAGGTTGTAGTTCAGTATGGCAGCAGGGGGTGGGAGGCCACTATCTACTTCTACAGGCCTGTCTGTACTTGATATTTCAGAGGTGACACCATGGAAGTGTGATACAAGAAGACTGAAAAAGACACGAAAGCATTTTCAAACTTATAATTCAACCTAGCAGGCATGAAGTATTGTCACTTAGCACAATGCTAATAATGAAAAATTATAAAAGAGCAAAACATTTAATAATACAGGTTTTAGGGGAATGTATTGTCAGAAGACAGCCCATGTAGTATTAAAACATCTGACCTCTACAGGACTCTGCCCTGTAAACTTAAATTTTGGCACCTGGGGTTATATGGGATAGTGATCTTCTTTTAGATTCATGTAAAGCATGCACATATTAACAACAACAAATGTCAATTATCCTAGGAATAATAGAAGTTTGGAAATTGAGTTCTGTAAAGCAAATCCTGGCACATACCTTAGACAAGAAAACATGGAATTCACTGTGATAAATGCAGTAAAGTTTCTTCAGGTCAAATTACATCTTTGGTGTTTCTGAGGATCAGCTGTGTAAATTCTGTGTAGCACCACTAAGAATTTGACTCAAGTCACTTTACTGTACTAGCATTTTTTGGCCAAGTTTTCCAAACACTGCCTCTGGATGTGCACATCTAATCCTGGCACAGGGTCTCTTCAACACACAGTTTTTTGCAGACTATCACTCGTGCAAAAAAAACAAACCCCAAATAACTGAGCTTGATCTGTGCATGCAAATCAAGCATAAATTGAGTGCAAATGAGAATTGAATTTATGCACAAATAATAATATACAAAAATTAATAGACATGCAATTTTTACACAGAAGCACAAACAGAAGCTGAGTGAATGGGCCTTAAAATTTGGTCCTTAATATTCAATTATAAAGGACCCAAGGCCTGATCAAACAGTACAGTATTCCTACATCCTACTTTGCTCACATGCTAAATTCCTTCAAAAGGAGCCCAATTATATTTTGTTTAATGTCTTCAGGTTAACATGCATGTATTTCCATGTAAATGTAGGAGGACCATGCTGAAACAGAATTCTGGCAAAGGTTTGGGTAAAGCATCTCTCAGGAAACCAGAGTTGTTCTGTTATTGTCCTACTTTAGAGTGATTGGTCATTTACTTCCAATACAAGATAATGAATGATGACTGTAACCAAAGACAATATGGGAATCAAGATTTTTCTTAATGAAGGTGTCTATAAAACAACTATTATTTTAACAACTCTTAAGAAAAATGCCAGTTGAGAGAGAAATCAACTATTTTTTCATGGTAAAAATGTCGTGGACATACCTCATCTGACGACAGTGCTAAGGAATGAGAGAAACCAGGATTTTTGGGTTCTGCTCCTAAACCACTCAAATCAGCTGAACTTGTGCTGCTGGGGCTGAAATCATCATTGAATGTGAAGTTCTGTAGACAAAAGCACAAGTCAAAATGAACAAAAGATCTTACATACATATCTAACAGGAAACTTGCCTTTCCCCTCCAGGTTGGCATAATTCAGGAGTGATTTTGATAATTTGCTGAACTGGTTAGAATATATACAAAGAACCCCAATCTTTTTCACTGTTAATGCTTTACACAATAATGTGCTATACATTTATTATGGTATGTGTTAAGAGACATTTTTGCCAGCTTAATATCTTAATTAGTAACAAAATTATCTGAGAATAATTTACAGACTTCACTTATACAGCTGCAGCCCTTTATGAGGGTATCAACTTCATTGTTTCTAATGGTTGATCAATGGCATTTGCCTATCATCTAAACACTTAGGACGACCACAGAACATGCACTAATACAATGGGTAGAACAAAGGTTGGATTATCGGGAAATAAAAGTTACTGTTGAAAAGACAAGGAAAATATCTTGTGAACTGTTTCAGCCTCAAATAAACTTCTTAGAAGTAAGTGAAAGGAACTTCCTTTTCTGCCTAACTTTTAGGCAAGACAGAAGATAAACAAGACCATTTGACCTTATGTGATACTTACTGCAACAGTAACCAAAAAAGACACTCGTTTGTCATAAAAACATAATGACAAACATCACACTTCACAAGCAAGGAAGAACAAAATGTCATTCAGTAATTCATGTACATCGTTCCCAGGAATTTACCCAAATCATCCTTGGTTAGCAAGAAATCTTCAAAAGACTTTGGAAAATAGTCCAATGCAAAAACAAGAAAAATAGATCAAGGTGTCTCTGGCTCTCTTGGTGTTCAACAAAAAACTAAATAGATGCAGAAACCACACATTTAGGGTACTAATCCAGAAACAAATAGGTAACTAAAAAAATTGAGCAAGTTTTTGAAGTTTTGCAATATACAAAGCATGAAAACATGACAATATGAGTACACCAGTCATGTTTTTCAATTGGTTCATTTAAAAATATAGAGAATATCAAGCTTGACTTCCCCTTTTTTTTTCTGTCCATCTTACAATTAGTGGAATCAGTGAAATACCTCTCAATGGGCTGTAAAATCCCAAACCGCTGATTTCCCAGTACAGCTCATTTTGAGGGCTTGTGCACTTTAAAAAGAAAGACCAAAACTTTATTTTCTTTTAAAATATTTCTTTAAACCATGACAACCATTACTCTGCTTTCTCTTGTTTTTGAGGAGGACTAGAATAATTGAGGAGGAGTTGTTTTTAGCATTTCACTGAGAAAATATAAGTACTGAATCTTTAAAATTGTTTCCTAGGAATCTGATGTAGCAAAAACAGAGTTCAAAGAGAATTTCCTTTTTCTCTAAATCACTTGAGTTTTAGTGCTGGAAGGAACATCAACCGTTATCTAGTTCAATCCCTTCCTCAAAATATTATCATCTCCATCTAAATCATTCAAGACAGTTGTCTAACTAGCACTTAAAAGCTTCCAATGATAGAGATTACACAACATCTCTAAGTAACTGTTAAGTGCTTACTGACATCATAAAATCCTTTAACTGAAGAGTGAAGTGGCATTTTCCTTTACATATAAAATATTACATTAAAATATAATAAGAAAGGGGAAACACAGCAGCTGGGCAGTGGCAAACAAATTACTTTACCTCTTATGCCTTAACAGAAACAAATATAAAAAAGAGGGTTTATTCTATTTCCACGTTATTTGTAAGGAAAGATCTTCAAAGGTACAAGAGAAACTACATGCCCAACTCAACTGCCATTCATGGAAAGTTAGGAACCTGGGGGCGCTTTAATTAGAGTGGCTCTGAGAGCCGCTCTAATTAAAGCGCTGGAGCATCATGTGTCTAAGTGTCCCCACACTGAAAAATGGTGAAAAATGAACAGGTTTTAGTTACAGCATCCCCACCGCCATTTTTCAAGGCAAGGACACTGATACACATGACGCTGGACTCTGCTAGAGCACAGTAACGACCACGCTCCAGCAGACTTGATTGAGTCTGCTCTGACATGCCATAATTACAGTGCAGCCTTGCTGTATGTGTATAGGTGTCCTAAATACTCATCACACCTTTGAAAATTGGCCCTTTCATGCCACCCCCCTCCACCCTTATATGTCCTATCTTTGCTTAATCCATGAGGTTTTCTAGGATTTCTCTCCAACAGCTCCAGGCATGATCCTGTTTCATGTCACTGTTCTACGATCTTGTAGATTCTTACATAGGTAGACTCATTTACTCCTAGAAGAGGGCTCTTAATTAATCTAAATGCCCCTGAAAACTTCAAAAACTGCTATTCATTGTGGGCATAAAATTGAAGTAATTTGTAATCAAACCCCTGAATATGAGGACTGAACCATTTCAGTTTCTTTTCCAGCCCAGTACAAGCAGCAGAATGCTAGAGGCTATGGAAAAAGGTATACCATTACAGAAATATTTCCTATGGGTGGCTATAAATTAAACAACACAAGAAAGCTAGGTACATTACTCTTAGGGTTATTTAAGGATTATCATGCTGAAAACAACATTCATGCATCTAGAAAAGAATCACACAGATGCTTTATATAATAACAATCAAATTTTCTTAGTTCCAAGATCTTCACAAATGCAATTAAATCTGATAACCAACATGCGAGACAAGCAGATTTTGTTACAGGGAAAAAAAGGCAAATGATTGACAGTGTATAATGTCAGCATTTCTTAGCTTTGCAAACATCTCATTTTAATATGTTAAACATGGTTAGGTATCCATTCCCAATCAGTCCTGAAAAATGCGATAAAATCCACAACTCGATATGCAAATCTAGCAATTGTTTCATGGATCAAAATGTTGTTTTCCACTAGTGCCATTCGGTATCATACTGGATATCATTGTAACATACATCAGGAGAGAGACAACTTAAAAAGCTCTGTGCAGTCTGTCATGGTACAAAATGTTGTTCAGAGGAGTTCTTATTGTACAATGAAAACTGTGCATTGTTTATTGTATCAACATATTGGCCCTTTCTTTATCCTGAAACATTGAACCAATAATGCTACTTCACATACTGGGAATAAGGTAGTTTTTGTTTTCTACCTTTAACCCTTTTTTAGCTGGACTTATATTTTCAGAGGAAGGTTCAGTTGAACTGGTAGGCGAAGGCAGGTTGCTGGAAGAGTTGGATCCCCTGTCACTCTCTCCATACCATGTGAAAGGGACACAAGGTGGGAGAGAGGAGGATCTCTGTGATAAAGTTGCACTGTGTGCTGAGCGCTCCAGCATTTCTTTGTTGGCCCTGTTTAACAGAAAGGAGTACGTATCTGTGTTAGAGTATAAAACTCAATAAATAAATAAAATAAAGTAAGGAACTATAGAAAGAGTGATTATTTCTACAAATGTGGCAAAACCATGAAATAACTTGTAGGTAAAGGCATTCAAAAAGTCTACTTTCAGATGAAGATAGAAAATGGTAGGGTTTGAACTCAAGCTTTCTATGCATCAGCTATATGGCAAAAATCTGTACTTAGTTGCACCAGTTGCACAGGAATTGATTAATTTTCTGAATCTAAACTGGTGTAATGAAGAGCAGGCTTTAGCCTTAAATTCCCTTTTTGAATGTTGCCTGTATATTCCTAGGGTCTGCACATCCCTCCTATACACAAATAATATTTGTTGGTTATTTAAACAATACCTAAATTTAAACAATACCTAGGTCCCAAGGGTTTAGTAGGGTTCCAGAAGTCATAAGAGAATGAGTTTATTTTGTAGCATGGTGACATTTTTTGATATCTGGCTGTGTTCTGACTGCATGACTAAAGAACCTAAAGCCATACTGTTTCTAAAAAAATAAATTTCCACATACCGCTGTACAGCAGAATGTTACAATATTTCTTAAAACAGAAATGATACTTAATGCATCTAATCCTCAAACTAATTTCCAAGCATTAACCTTGCCATGGTGGCTGAGAGGGAATCCTCCTCCCCAAACCCAATGACTATTTACAGAGTGACAAAGCCACTCACCTAGTTTTAACGCTCATTCCCTCCTTCCCCTAGCCTTACAGAGCTGTGTCCCTCACACCGCTCAGTTCTATAATCTGCAGCGGCATTCTGCTGTACAGGCAGAGGAAACTCTGCTTCCTACCTTTATTGAAGATCTGACTTTTTTTTAGGCCCCTTGTACCTGTGGCGAAGGGAAAGGAGGTTTTTTCCAAAATCAATTAGAATGCCATTTCAGCATTGCCAAAATAATGCACAAAGCATCCATCAGACAACATAATTAATTCTACATCAATCAACTGTTCTAAAAGAAATAAATCATCGTAAGAGGACACTGTCATTTGATCACTGTCCTCTTTTTCAAAGAGCTTACTCGGCTTTGGTTTTGGTTTCAGCCTTCCATATTTTTGGAAGCAAATTCTTCAGTAACAAAGGGAAAGCATAAATGGTTTTTAAAAAGTTACAAAGAAGTAACAGCAGCCAATTTACAAAGACATACTGAGACCTGTAAAAGCATACGAGTTCTGCACTTTGACTTCAATAACTGCATCTCAAGACAGGCATATTCAGTAGGGAAAATGAAAAGCTGTTAAAAATGAATGATTGGGCTTACACTTCACTATTTACTGATTCTCAGTCTTTCAGCACTGCCCAAGAAGAAACAGATATTTTGTACAGCCAAATAAGGAATTAATTCTACTATAGGGCCTACTTCTCACAAATAAGTGCAGATTCATTTCCCCCGTCCCTTCTTTATCATTCAAATGCTGAATATAATAATTGAACACTCAATTCCACTGCAGGTATGCATCACTGCACAGGGTTTCCCTTCACAAACCTATCTCTTTTCCTAGTGATGCACAACAGTATGTGCCACTATCTACATCCACAGGTTGAACCAGATCCTCAGATGGTTTAAGCTGACAGCTTTATTGACTCCAGTAGGGCTATGCTGATTTACATAAGCTAAGGACCTTGCCAGCTACTTGTACTGATATCAAACAGAGTTGTGTGTGCTGATCTACAGTACTATACTATATTTGTACACATTTTAAATGAATTTAGGTGCTGAAGTACGATCCCATTCCATCCAGCTTATGTCCTTAAAAAAAATGTTGACAGAAAAGATGATTAGGACCTCTTCCTCTGCCGCCTCCCTGCATTTCATAGTTTAGTTTTAAGGCTAATAAGGTGCTTTCCAAAAGTACCATATTTTTCTCACATAACATACAAATATAACATACACCCTATTTTTGGAAGGCCCCAAGAAGAAAAGAAAAAAATCCTTACCATAGAATGTGGGTAGGTATCTGAGATTTGGGGTGCCTGGGGCTGGTGGCTACATAGCAGAGCCGGATTCAGCATGCTGGTGCTGGGGCCACACACCATGGTAGTGCTCAGGGTCTGATCTGGCACTCGGCCCCAGCCCCCAGACTGCTGAATTGGGCCCCATCACACTGTGTAGCCCCATCACCAGAGTGCCAGATCAGGCCCCACCCTGCTATGTGGGCTACACAGTGTGGTGGGGCCCAATTTAGCACTCTGGGTGCTGGGTCTGTGCCCCAGGTCTGACTCTGTGCACTGGCTCCAGGTCCACATGCCATCTCAGAGCCACAGCAATTAATACTGCCACCACACTACCCTCTACCCCTCCCACCAAATTTCCAGCACTGTGCCTTTTTCCTTGTATATGTGCACCCCAATTTTCCCCAGCTGGTTTGGGGGGAGAAGGTGAGAGTTATATGCAAGAAAATACAGTAGATGCATTAACAGTTTTCCAACAACTCAAGCAGGGTAGAATAGGATCACATTCAGGTGTCTGGTAAGTCAAATAGGATCTGGGCTAGTGAGTCTGAGGGACAATTCAGAATCAGAAGACCTTATGCCTTAATATTTGCAAATGAAAAAAAAAGTTTTACATTTGTCATTGTGTCTGTATATTTCAAAGGTGAATAAATTTGATTTGATTGCTTCACTATTTTTCTTTTGCATTTGTGTTGCTTCCTATGAATTTTAGGGTCTGTGTGTCATTTTATAGTATTTGGAGTATATTTACTAGTATAGATGTTTTGGCATTTAATTCAAGGACTTGCCTTTTGTGCCTGGAACCAACATTCCTTAGTCTGCAATGTTTTTAGTACTAGAATGGGAGGCTTTCTAAGAAAAATGTCCTACAGATGCTGTGGGAAAAGGTACTGTCACTTCAGTGTTTTGTGCTTGTTTGTTTATTCATTCAGTGTGAATACAGGTGTTAGGGATGCTGTCTGAATAAGCAAACAACTTACAACCCTTTTCCTAAGAGTTGCTGATGTGGCGAAATCTAGCATGTAATTTTCCTGTACACTTGCAAATTATCTGGTTCTATTCCCCTCCTGAAACAAACTCTTCTATGGAAATATAGTGGACTGTATTTAAGATCTGCTTCCCTCTCTCCCATTAGCATCTGGTTTGCAGCACTGGGTGGAATACATGTCAAACTTTTTTGGATATAGAATCTTACATATTCTTATACATGCACATTGTGTGTTAGTTCTAGGAATCTGTCTTCAATGTCCATCAGTATCAATGGGAGAGGTAGAGACAGATCTAGGGTGTTACATATCTCAATGCATTTTAAGGTATTATTTGGCCATTTGTTAAAAAATTATCCAGGTTAGTAAAAGCAGAATTGGATTCCTGGTTATTAACTTATTCTAGCATTGCATGCAGGACAGCTTGACTGCTAGTGATTTCCTCTCCTAGATAACACAGATTTGCCAACAAAATCTGGCCTAAGATGGATCACATCCCTGTTCTTTTACCCATACCTACTGCCACAGGCCACCCTCACAGCTTCTTTCTCTCTCCGTTTCTTGCCTTTGTTGGAACTCCTCCTCAAGGGAGCCCTATAACAAGATCAAAGAATGTCAGAGAACATCATCTGAAACTTTTTTCTCTTATCTCATAATAAAAACCTAGGTTTTAGATAATAAAATGCTTACCCAAAGTCCACAAGCTTTTGCTTTATTTTTTCTGCTTGCCCCATAATAGGTCTGGCTGTTCTTCCTGACTGGGGGCCTGTAGCATCATCTAGGATACAGCAGTACATTGGAAAGTATACATGATCAATTTTGGCAAATACTAAACAGTAGCTCCACCTTCCATCCAGAAGAGTTTGTGTATGTGTGCTTCTACATATAAACATATACACCCATACAGCTCTGGATCAATATGTAGATATACGATTTGATTAGGTACAATTGCATAAACACCACCATTTCTTTGTGAAGATGAACTGAAAAGGTATAAAAAGTAGCTAAATGAATAGTTCTGAATCCTGAGAATAGGCATTAAGAGGAAAAACAGAGGCCCTTATTTTATGAGTTTAATATTGGAATTTGTAATAAAACAAAGTACACAGCAGGTTAATAATAGAAAACATTAAACACATGTGCATTTTTAAATCCTAGCTGTAATTATCTTGTATCTTCTTTCGCCAATACTAAATTCTGTTTTAAGCCCATTTTACTGTGAAATATGGCTATAGAAACCCTTTCTTCAGAGATTCCAGTAACTTTGGAGAACTGGCTAATTTTAAGGCAGGAATACTAAAGCAATAATAATCTGTTTGTTAAGTTTTTATGTCTTGGTTAAAAAAAAGACATTGCCGATTTGAAATCTAGCTAATTTGTAAAGCAATAGAATAGGGACATTTTTTATATCTCTTCTGGGACTATCTGCCATTTTCTGTCAAGGGCATGTTTCTGCAAGTGGGGAAAGCTTGCATGAGTCCTGGGATGGAAGCGCGGGGTACCAGGAATTCCTTGGGTCCTGTGCTGTCCGAAGCCAGAATCCGTGCTTCCATGTGAGGCATGGGTAGGTACAGACCTGATCCTGGCAAGGAGGTGCAGGGAATCCCCATGCAAAGGGAACATCTTGCTCATGGTCCTGCATCAGGCCCCTGCCAGATGCAGAACAATGAACACCATGTGTTTTACCCACTAAAGTGGATCAGCTGTGGTAGGACATGTTCCACCATTCTACAGAATGATTTGTTTAATTTGGCAATGTCTGTTTTCACCATGAATAGACATGAGTTTTCTAGTGGAAATGAATGAAGACCAGTCATTCATTCTGTCCATTTTTCCTTGAGGATTTGGAACAACTTAACTGGCTTCAATGGATTTACTCCATATTCAACCAGTATAAATCAGACCATCAGAATCAAAAGCTAAACCAAAAAATTAGTATAAGAAGGACTTTTAGAGAAAGGCCCATATCCTTCAGACTTCTCCTAAGACCCTGCCTTCCTTAGATATGTTGGGGTTCATTCATATGGAACAGCTGATAGAATCACTAAGGGGTCCTTTCTCTAAAACAGCTTGCTGCAATGCAGCATAATGAGCAACTTAACTATTTTGCACTGCAGAAACATTCTGATGGTACTTTTTTCATTCGTGAATAAATTCAAGGCACAAGAGACCCATAAGCCATGATGTGGGAAGCCAGGAAATGCAAGTGCATTAAAATGTACACACTTTAAGAACAAATTATTTTAACTAATTACAGTTGATGCCTTAAATACAGCATTCACAAAGAGCTGATGCATGAGCTTATGCCAAAACAGAAAATGAGCATCAACCTCCCAACAGGGGAGTTAAAGAAAAGCAGTATGCTGAGTGACAAAGCAACCTGCCAAATTCTCTCAAAAAGCAATCCATCCCACAACAAAGGCTGATGTGACTGCTAGGCAACTTGTACCAGTACCTTGAATCAGTTTTGCAAACACCGTGCATATAGTTAGTGTACTGAATGTACACTAACTATATGCATGGTTGCCTCTTTTGTATTTAATGTGTTCCTGTCAGTTAACTGTGGTAAAACTTGTCAGATTCATAGCACAAAGATCATGCTGCACTTGCTTTTGCATTAGATGCTAGAAAAATGTTTTATTTGTTGTCTTATTTTAATAGTAAGGGAACAAAACTAAGGTAATGACAACTGCTGGGTTTGTGACATGCAGACATGAAAAGAAAAGAGTGAACGTATTAAGACTGAAGCTAGAGGAAAACAGTGAGTACAATACAAAATTCAGCATCCGCTTTGGTTCAAAATCATGTTCAGATTTTGAAATGCTGTGCTACATACAGATAGGCCCTGAGTACTTTACAGCACTTCAGGTCATGGACAGATGTGTAGGCCCTACCACGAACCTCCACCAGAAGGCTTCAAAATCACTGCTACAACATACAGCAGCCTGATCTCTAGATGCTGGGTATGACAAGGTGTTGCTCAATTCTGTGACTCTGCTCCCCACCACATACAACACTTTTTTTCTCCAAAACCCAGCTGTTAGAAACTACAGTGTGCATTATAATGCAAGAAATGTAGCAAGAACAGTTTCTGTCAGTTAAAGGCAAAAGAGAGAGTAAAATTTGCACCAGGCTTACAGGGAGCAAAACAATGAGCAGATTCTGCTCCCTAGTTGCTGTTACTCAGTGGGTACATCTACATGAGATACTTGCTGCAGAGTTGCCTAAGTAGTGCTGCAGTAAAGCATCACTAGTCTACACAAGCAGTGCTATTAGGCCCAAGTAAACTAATTAACTCTGCTGCAGAACAGTACTGCCCAAAACAAGTACTATTCTACAACAGAGTTATTTATTCCACCTCAACTCACGTGTAGATGGCAACTGGACCTGAGGGTACTACAGTGTGGGCCTGCCTGTCAGCTAGCCCCACACTAAAGCACCCTCATGCCCCAGTCAGCTTCTCTATAGCACATTGCGCCAGGAGCAGTCCCAGGCTTGCAGACTGACCACCAAGCCTCCTGCCAGCCAGAGCTGAACCATGCCAGCTCGGTGTGCTGCAGTCCTAGGAACATGTGTAAATGCTGCACACGGGAGCAATAAACTCTGACACAAGCTGTGCTGGAGTTTATTGCATAGCATTAATATTCATGTATAGATGCACCCTGTTACTACAAAGAAAGATCTTTTTTCCTTCATTCTATCTTTCATAAACAAGATGCATATTATAGTCTAGGGTGTGCTATATGTGAGAAAATATAATATTTATAGAACTTCAACTATTACATCTGTCTAAGGGCCCTTGCTTGTGTACTGGAGTACTGTCTATCTGAAATGGAGAAATAAGCTGTGAAAGGTTTTGTGTACTTCTTTCAGAAATATAACAGAATAATTCAGAGACAAGGAAAAAGAGAACAAGAGGAAAAGTAGATCCATATCAACAGGGCAGACAAACATTAAGTTGTACAGTATACCATTAAAAAAAAAAAAGATTTTAAAATAAAATAGCATTAAGAATGAAAAAGCTGAAACTTGAATGTTGGGAAGAACTCAATTTTGAGGGTGAAACAATTGCAAAGCCACATTTGTTGGAGTGCAGTTTTGCAGATAGGCTTAGTACTGGCAGTAAGCAAAGTGTAGATTGGAGAAGGAATTGATCTTTTGTTAATGAAGTGTATCAAACAATAATCCCTTTTCACTGCGCTATCATTGGAAATGTGGTGCTTTCTTTCCTCTTATCCTATATTACTTTCTTGCCAGTAATGAATTCATTTAATTAATTAATGATCCCTTTCCTCCCCCCTTCCCTCCCACCCAAGACAGTAAAGATTCCGTCACAGTTCTCTTACTGTGGCATACTTTGTTACATGAATGCTTTCTGCATAAACTGAATTATTGTCTCTTTTGGAAAGTTAGGTGATATTTCAGAATAGGGTGGATTAACATAATGTGAAGACTCCCAACGTTATTCCACAGAACTGCTTGCCCTTCTCCTCCTCTGTGATCATAGGTTCAGGAAGGCCTTGCATCAAAAAATGAGAAATGGGTAAACCCATGGAATACAGTGCAGAAATGAACTGCCAGCTTGCACTGCTGTTTACTGAAGAGAGTTTTGACATCATGCAAGAGCTGTAAGGATGTAAACAGTTGCCTGGCTGTCTGAAAAGGCAGCAACTATCTCCCAGCAAACACATGCACCTCACTGATTATTACTGTTGCATAATTTTTACAAAGCAGATCAGTGAACAACACCCAGATAGGTGTGTCATTAAGCCATAGTTGTTATACAACTTAAATACATGCAACATTGGATGAATATTAAATAACAATATATTATCATCTTCATTCATTCATTCATTCATTCATAGTCTATTCATGTTTGGGCCCACATGGGATCATCTAGTTAGACCTCCTACATTTTTTAAGGCAGAGCTGCCCAACTTCTGAGCGGTTGGGAGGCTGCACACTGTGCAGGCTGCATATGCCCCACCCAGGCCACAGGTTGTGTGGGACCCCCTTCCATGTGGCCCCCCTGCACAGGCTGTGGGCCCCTAAAATAGGTCACAAAATACCTGGGTCCCATGAGCTACTCTGCCCCATCCCCAGGGGCAGGAAGCAACAGGTGGAGGAGAGAGCATCATCTTGGTTGTAACAGCAGCAAGAGCAATGGGGGCAGTGGTGCCCAGACAGGAGTTTGTCACCAATTGGACAGTATGGGAAGACTAAATATTCCTAGAAACAGGTTAAAATGTGCATGTTTTATTATTTGTTTTGTCATTATTGCCCTTGGTGCTATTTCTGGGTGTTATTTCCTGTACAACAGCACAGAAATCTAGGTCACTTAAACCTTTAGGTTAATTTTCCGATGACAGCAAAGGATACTGTTTTATAAGCATAGGAGCCAATTTACTGTGCTCGTGATTCTGTCTTAGTCACTAAGGTGCTTAGTCACTAAATATGCCATTTGCACCTCCCAGTAAAATTGCTCTTTAATACTGATTTTCTCTGTCATTTTTTAAAAATGCGATTTGGTTTACTTTTGCACTATTGTCCTTTCCTTTCCTGATATTTAATGAGGTGTTACTTGCAGTTTGGTTGTTTGCTGAACTGCTTACAATTTTACATGCAGTTGTTTAAATAAACAAAGGCCTAAATCCACAGCTACAGCTGAGTCATATCCAGCACAACTCAGGAGGAGGCATTTTGAAGGTAACTTGAAATACACTTTTGCATTCTTTTCATCCAGGGCCAACTGCACAAAAGGCTGGCTGCCTAGAGTAAGTTCAAAGAGGCAGAGTTGCTTTAAATTCACATCCATTTCCAGCAGCCTGAAAGGGCTGATACAGTGACCAGTGACTGATGGAGCTAAGAGAAGTACACACCTAGATCTCTCTTCTGAGTTGTACACTTCAGTCAGCAGCTGTGGGAGAAAAGCAACCTTTATGGCTAGATGGTCAGAGATATAGATGTTCAGCGGTGTTAGGAGGAGGTTAGAATTAAAAATCACGTTAAAAATGGCGACACAATCCTAGTTCGCTCAGATGCGGACCTTACACAAAAGGAGCAGACAGAAGAGCAGCTGCCTGCTGTAACTCACAGCACTTCGCAGGAAGTACTATCAGTTACAATGATCCCCTGAACCCAACAGAAGTTCACTGTTGGGTCTAGGCAGTTGGGGAATCTAGCTGCTGACTGCAAGCCTGCAGCCATCCTTCCCTAGCAACACCCATCCTCCTGATCTTTCCTTCTAGCCCCAGCGCTGTTTTTAGAATGGGAGTGGGGAAAGAAAGGGAGTAGAGGGAACTCCTTCTAGGGGTTCCCCAACCAGCACCTGCCCCACCTTCCAGCACCAGCTGAAAAAACCCCAGACTGAACTCCCTCCACTCCCTTTTCCCACTCCCATTCTGAAAAGTGAAATGCTGGAGGCAGCACAGACACAAGCTACTGAAGACACTCTGTTTTGGAGTGTCTTAATCTGAACCCTCATGCAATGTCTTCATCTGAACCCTCATGCAAAATAGAAATGGATATGAGGGTTCAGATTTTCACAGGATCAGGTCCTTTTAAAGTGGTCTGCAGCCATGCACTTATGTTTGGTTACAGCTGTAGAGTGCTTTCAGAGGCCAGATCAGGCAAAAATTGTCACTTCTGTCTGTGCCTTTAGATCTGGTCTCAGTGATCAGAAATCAATCTAAACCCATAACAGTACAGAAGTTCCATGCACACGGACTGGTCTAAAAATGGCAGAACCCAGTCTAAGATACACCTGGATTGATATACACAAACTTAATCGATCTAGATTAGACCAGTGAATGGAACTTCTGTAGTTACCTGTGCAGCCCCAAGGCTGGGAAAGCCTCAGGCTGGCCCCAGCATCAGGGTGGCACTTTTCCTACCTGTCCATTGGACCCTCACCCCCCTTCCCCACAGACCAGCCAGGGGTGGGCAAAATTCAGCCCGCGGGCCAGATGCGGCCTGCCAGGCCATTCTATCCATCCCATGGAGCCCCTAAAATATTTAGAAAATGAATATTTATCTGCCCCTGGCTGCCTGTCATGTGGCCCTTGATAGCTTGCCAAAACTCAGTAAGCAGTCCTCTGCCCGAAATAATTGCCTGCCCCCACCAAATCCCCCATCCTGCAAGCTGCTCTAGGTGCCAGTTTTATCAACATTCACCACTACTGGGAGCCAAGATAGTAAATATCAGTGGGGAGAGGGGCAGGAGGGATGGGGGAATAGGTTTACCTGCCAAGTTGGTCAGGGGACTAAAAATAGCCCCTGGTCCTCCCCAAGTCCCCCTGCAGATCCTGCAAGTCCCCTGATCCCACCAAACCCTCCTGGACCCCAGCAAGCCCCCACAGACCCCATCTGCCCCTCCCCCCCACAAACTCCCTGATCACTCCTGCTTATCCTGCCATCCCCATCCCTCCTGTGGATCCCACCTGCCCCCCAATCCCCTCACAGATGCTGCTTGCACCCCAATTCCTCTGATTGCTCCCGCAGATCCCATCACCCCATCCCTCAGGATGCCACCTGCTCCCTGATCCTCCTGACCACTCCTGCAGATCCCACCTGCCTCCCCAGCCCTCCCACCTGCCCCTCTCCCCACCCCTGATTCCTCCAATCCCTCCTGCAGATTCTTCCTGCCCCAGTCCTCCTGATCACTCCCACAGATCCCATCCGCCCCCCAATCACCTCCATGGATACTACCTGCACCTCCCGCAGATGTTATCTACCCCCCCATCTCCCAGATCCTTCTCACACTGACTGCACCCCTAATCCCCCAATCCCCACCAAGCCTGTTTGCCCCTCTAACCCCTCCCCTGCCATGCCACTTTACCTTAGATTGGGTGGCCATTTCTAACCTCCACCTAACCCCTCTGAATGTCTGTACTTAGCCTGAGTGGGCTACACCACTAGAGGAACTCCCTGAAGTGGGATGATCCTTCAGTAGTCACCTAGGCTATCTTTTGGTCTGCTCTGTGCTAATTTAAAAAAATGCCCAGGTCAAGGGAGAATCTAAACCAAACTTATTCAGGAAGAACAAGAGAATACTTTAAATGACTAACTTTGAAATGGAATCTCTCTCATAACATTCTAACTGTGTCTGCCTATAACTTCAACAACTCTGCAGCCTTGCTGGAAAAAAATACGTGTTTGCTAAGGATTTTTTTTGCCTTAAGCAAAAACACACATTGGCGGGATTCTACATGTTTAATCAAAACCCCCTGCTGTCAACAGGTAGGTACATACATATGTGCGTTCTCTGAATAAAAAAATCTAGTTGAACCCACAACTCAAATGCAATAAATGAATCTACTACGTTTAGTCACTAAAACTAAGAGCTGTAAAGCCAAGTTAGCAATCAATTAAATGCTATCAAGCAATATCACTGAAACACAGGCTGCAAAACAATTGCTTGAGGATATCTCTGTGCTAGGGAATTTACTGAACATAAATGTTCCTGTTTGAAACTGAATTGTTCTACTTTGATTTTAATGTAATTGTTAAAAGACAGTTGTGCAAAAAAAAATCACTGTCTGTTTATATAACGCTCAGAGTGGAAAAAGAACCTGACGTTCTTCATCAATTAAGTAAAAAGATTCAGAGACGTAACTGATATAATTTTTGCCCAGACCAAGCTGCTACTGTGGAAGTTAATGCTGCCAGAATGTCAAGCAATGGTTTAAAAGCTCGAATTGGGCAATAAAGAAAGGAGAGGACAGGGTTAAATCTCTAGCTGCTGGTCACACTGGCATTTCTTTCTACAGCAGCAGCTTCCCTCAGATGCCAGGCTTTTGTTGGTACTGACTGCTGTGTGGCACCTCTGATGTGGCTTCTGGAGCTGCTGCAGGGGGTGGTGCTGAGTGCGGGGGGGGGTGAGGCTCCCCTCCCCCCATTCTGGCACCCCACCTTGGACAGTGCCTGGGGCTCATGCTTCACTCACCCACTTGGATTTCATTATTGTAAAGATTATTTCTCAAGCTCAGATTGGGGTGGGAGGGATGCAATACTCATTGTTTGGATTCATGATTTAGTTAAACACACATGAGAAGAAGACAGTAGGAGAAGGAGGGTTTACTACACAAGCAGATATTTCAATAGATTTTGAAATCTAAAAATACCAGAACCAGCCATCAGTAGGCTATTCACTGATGAAGTGCTTCTGATTTCAAACTTGCTACAGATCTGCACCCAACTAAGACTCGTTAGGACTTTGTATTTTATTCCAACTTGTCAGCAAGCACACAATTAGTATTATCATGCACCAGACCATACAACAGGAATCTCTGCAGTCAGCGCAAAAATATGGGCATTTGGGCCTGCCTGTTAAAACCCAGTATGGCTTCATAAATTCACATTGTTTATCAACATATTATGGCATGAAAACTTGACATATAAAAGCAAGTGACATTTTCAATAGTAGTCAACAAAACTAGAAAACCCCCCACTATTTTTCGGTTAATTTTAAGTCAAAATCTTTTATGAAGATTTTAAAGGTTCAGTCTTGCAGTCCTTAATTTAACCACTATTCTTTTACAATATGGGCAATTTTGCTTAAGTAACAAGGAGTCCAGGGTATGAACTTCAGTAAATACACACAATGTAAATCCATGTGACTGAATCTACACAGGTGTCAGAAAATGAAGTTTGTACTACACTGTGCTTTTAAAATGCTGAACAAACTAATCTTTGCCTACCCAAATAATACTTTGGTAGGAATGCATTGTATTCCTAGGAAAACAGAAAAATAACAACTTGGCTATGCTTTGTAATAAGCCATAGGACAAGTTGCATTTAGATTGGAGGGGTGTTCAGCTTTCGGTTTCTTGTTTAATCAAGAAGACCACTTCGCTTTTCAACTAGTAACAAACTCCAAAAACTGAATTATCCTCTAACTAGTACCCCCACCATGAAAAACAGGGACCAACATTGGACTCAATTTGAGTGGGTGACACTTTATTAAAACTGCTATTCAGGATTTTAGTACAAATGTTGAAGAAGTTTCTCAAACACTAGTCTTGGGTATTCTGCTCAGAGAATATGTCCAGCTGTCTGAAATGTTTTGAATTTTGGAAAAAAATAAACCAAATGGTTCACATTTCAAAATAATATGGAAAAAAAATGTTGCGACTTTTTTCTCCTTTTTTCAAGCAGCTCTAAGAAAAAAGTAAATGATTTCTGGTCTTGATTTAAAATCTGACCTTTCTTCATGCCACCAAATGAAAACAACTGATACTTCCCGACTTCAAGGCAGACGAGAAAAGCCCTGAGAAGATGGCCATTTTAGTCACAGGGCTAAAACAACAGGACATGCACACAAAGTAAATATAAGCAAGGGAAACAACGCACTGATTTATTTGGAAAAATGATTATACCTTCATCTTGTACAACAATCCTGCCCATTGAGTGATGCAAAGGAGATGCTTCTGAGCTGCGACTGGATTTTGAAGGAGAGGATAGTGGAATGCCACCTTGAGCACAGTAGGAAAGAACACCTCCTTTGTGCTGCTGTCCTCTTTCCTGGTTTTCAGCTACGTTGCCAAATGAGAATGCTGCACTGCTAGCGGCTGGGGAGAGGGAGGAAGCACCAGAATCTGATGCTGGTGAGGATGCTCTCATGCATATGGGCAGAGGTGGTTTTGAAATGTGCATGGGACTGTCAGACGGCTGTTGGTATAAGAGATTATAAAGCAGGTTATGCCATTTTGTAACCAATCAAGGAAATGTTTACTTTCAACATGCAATCCTTTATTTTAACATGTTTTAGTTCCTTTGTATTTTTTTAATAAATATTCTGGTAATTCATAGAGTTACCTTTGAGTATCACACATCTATGTTGCTTACTAATGAGTGGCTTTCAAGTATGAGTCAGGATCAAGGAAATTCAAAGATTAGTATGACATCACACATAATTCACATTGAGAAATAAACAGATGCAGGATTGAACTTCGTTTTTACTCCCATACAAGTTAAATAATCCACTCAGTACAACGTAACACATGGAAGTCGGTCAGAAATCTCTGCTCCTGTGAGAAAAAACAGATGTGCTGCCTAAGAGATGTGACTTAGTGTGCAAAGACTGTTACCCATGGTACACTGGCTGCAGATGAACAAACATTGCCTGTACTACTATGAAAGGACAAAAGTACAGGACGAAACAAATTCCAGGGGCAAGCTACCATCTCATACCATGAATAAGACAGAAGGAAGAGACCTTCTCACCTTTCGTTCAAGGCTATCCTCTCCATCAGTTGAACTGATACTGTCATAGAGCCTTGTTCTAGTAGGTCTCTGCCGTTTGTTCTTTACTGAAAGCTGTGCTCGTGTTTTCAGTGCTTTGGAATCCAGCCTCTCTGTTTCTGGGACTGCCTCATTGAAATCTACAAAAATGGGATTCAAAGCTATTTAACTCCAGCACTCTTCAGGGGAAAATAGCAATTTAATTTTCTTGAGATTACACAGAGGCCTGGTCTGCAACTATGCGTTAGAAAGAGAATACACTCTTTGTACAATTTACCTACATATGTAATTACTGCACCTGGCTATACAAATTTGCTAACTGCGTGCACAAAACACCAGTTATTTGTAACAGCAATTAGCAAATTTTCATGTACAGTTTCAGTAAGTCAACATGGAAATTAGGCCTGTAGTTGCAAACATTTAAAAATCAAATTCAGTAAGGCAGTAGAATATAAGAAAACATTCATAACAACAATAACATAACAACTCCTAGTAGCAAAGACAGAAATTATTTGCTAGGTGGTAAAAAGCCAACCACTGATATTAGACTGTCTACTAACACCCTACGCTAGCCACATGCAAGGAGGTCTACACCACCATAATGTATGCAAAAAGAAGCAAGAAGAGTGTATACATTAAGGTAACATTCACTGTTCTTTAACTTCTTTCAGCTTCTGGGTGAATAAATTAAACCAACTTAGACTTATTGGGCCAAATTATTTGTTCTTGTTCTGACTCTTTTATGCTACCTAAACAATGTAAGAAACCTGGGCATAGGAGAATTTTCAACTAGGCAAGAAGCTGTTTTTTGCCTACTCTTTCCCAAAGACACAGGTGCAAGGTGGAAAGGAAAAGCAGACCAGATCACTGATCTGTTATGCTATTTCATTTCTGGCAAATAGTAGGGACCACTACCAATGGCTGCAAGTTGGAACAGCCACTTGGTTGCTCTAATTTACATCTGGGCCAAGGCAGGTTGAGAACTAGGAAACCATGATTATCATTCTCAAGAACGAAGTAGATCTTGGCACAAGGAAGAATCTGGTCCCATATGCCAGAGTATAAACAGGCCTAAGAGCATCTGAGTGTAAAGGAAGTACAAGTGAATGTAAATGAGTGCAACTTGAATTCTGAATTTGACCTGTTATGTTTATGGTGAGGCCCTAAGAAAATATAAAAAAATATTTCTGTACTCTGCATACTTTTACAGGGCTGCAGCCAATTGTGTGTGTGTGCGTGCGCGCACACACCCATATACACAGTATATCTATGCATCTGCATTATAAAAATGAGGGATGAAATTGATTAGGTGGTTTTTGAATCCTGCTGGAATTCAATGCAGTTGTAAGAGTTGGAATTGACTACTTACATCAACGTAAAAGTTTATTTATGAGAGAAATAATGCAGTCCAAAATGGTAAAGATTCCTCCTGTGTCTCGGGAGTAGGCCGGGCTAGCTTTGTTACAGCACACCAACTTCTGTAGTCCAGGGCAAAGAGGGAGTGGTATAGCTAACATCACATCTGGCCACCTTTGATTCCCCAGCCTGACTGCCAACATGCCCCATTTACAGCTCAGTTAACTTGGTATGGTCTTTGGCACGAGTCTGAAGTGAGGCTCAAAATCATGCCTTCGGTTTCATAGCGAGACACCTCTACCAGTCTTCCGCCATTTTCCTCCCAGAAAGACAAGCTAGGGAGGATTCCTGGTATGCTTCAGAAAATGAAGACATTAGGTTTTCAGTGATATGTCTGACCACACAATCATGAACAGAGATCCTGGTTTTTGCTGTTTAAAAATTGCAAATTCTCTGATTAAAAATATGCAATTCTCTGATTAAAAGACAAAAACTACATTTTTCCATGATTGAAATGAAACACCACTATATATATAGGTATCAGTTGAACACAATGTTTTATTGATATCTTTACCATTTTATAGCCTTTTGGAAGCCTACCAGTGCCTGAATCACAATAGTAAAATAAATTCTAGATACCTATATATTTTGCAGTTTGATTTTACATTTTTTTTAAATGGAAAATTAGAGCTCTCCCTGCCCCCTTCACTCACCAGAACATAGGTCCAGCTGAGGCTGTCCTGTCCTGTCCTCTCCCCCCGCAACTGCTTTGTGGTACTGAGCAGCCCTGATATGCCAGTGCCCTGCCCATGCCATTGCCCCTCACTCCCAAGCCACAGTCCCTTGGCCCTGCTGGTGTTCCTCATTCCTGACCCACTTTCCCCCGGCCCTGCCAGTGACCCTCACTCTCAAGCCACAGCCCCCCCCAGCCCTGCCTGTGCCCCTCATTCAGGACCCACAGCGCCCCTTTCCCAGCTCTGCCAATGCCTTTCACTCCCCACCCACAGCCCTCTGGCCTGCCGGTGACCCCCACTCCTGACCTACAGGCCTTCTAGCCATGCTGGTGCCCCTCACTCCCCACCCATAGCCCATTGCCTCCCCATCCCTGTTGGAGGGGGCCCCAGCTGCCAGGGCTACAGGACCAGGGACCCAGCTCTGCAGGGTCCTTCACCCCTCCCCCGCCTCCCCCGCACAGGGCCCGGCCACTGGCTGCCACCATGGGAGGCTGCAGCTGCTGTGGCTGGAGCAGAGCATGGAGTCCAGCTTCCTGTCCCACATGAGTGGCATGGCTGGAGCGGAGGCTGGGGCGGGAGTGGGTGCAGGCTGGCAGCTGTGGGCTCAGGGTTCCCTGCCCTGCTGCCCTCTCTCCCCAGGGACCTCCACAGCCCAGCAGATGGGACTTGGCACAGTAGGGCAGAGTAGGGTGAGAAGGCTTGGGATTGCTGCTGGAAGCCCTACACCACCATGGCGAGGCGCCCCTTGCCCACCCAGCAGCAGCAGGGGTGGCAATGCAAAGTTGTGTCCCCTGCTGCTGCTGGATGGGCAGGGGATGCCTCACCATGGTGGCCTGGGGCTCTTGGCAATGGCACTGAGTTTCCCCACCCTGCTCTTCCCTGCCACACTGGGCTGTGGAAGTCCCTGCAGGGAGGGCAGCGGGGGGGGGAGGGACGACGACACGGACCTGAATCTGCAGTCACCATTCCACTGCTGACTCCACCCCATGCTCAAATCTGGGGGGGCATATGTCCCATAACCCCGTGTGGCAGTGTGCAGAGTGGCAGGGAGCCAGTCATCCTCAGACGAGCCACCTGTGGCTATGTCCCACACCCCAGCCAGATCTTGTGGCCTTACACTTCCAGCCCCGGGCCCCAAGCCCCATGCATCGCCCTGGCTGGGCAGTGCCTCCATCCCCAGCTCTGCCCAACTCCCTACCTCCCTCACAATGGGGGCCTCAATCCCTACTCCACCCCAGACTTACCTGCAGGGAGCTTTCTCATGGATTTCTCTTTAAAAGCTGAAAATCTGCATTCTTCTCCTTAAAAGGAGAAAAATCCACACTTTTTTCCTTAGAAGAGAAAATCTGCGTTTTACCACATTATCCCATGGCAAACAGAAAACCCAGATCCTTGATCATGACATATTCATCATCTGTTACATCCCTTCTGAACAAAAGCATCTTCCCAGTTGATCCCCACCAGCCTCAGGTGTTGTCTTCTTCCTGTTGCCTTTTAAGAACTGATAACCCCTCCCTGGACGCTTCCCTGTCATTTTCAACCATTTTCCCAATATTAGCTTACTAAAATCAGAAGCCAATGGAGTCCACAACACAGAGAGGATGCTAATTGTTAAGGGTGCACTGATAGAGATTTTTTGGGCTGATACTGATAGCCAATTTTAACAAGCCATATTAGCCGATACTGATCTGATTGCCGATATGAGGCCTGGCAGCTTGGACAGCAGCACCTGGCTGGTAAGTCTGCTGTGGGGGAAGGAGCGAGGGGGGAGGGAAAAGGTAAGGTGGGAGGCAGACCGAGGTCCCCACGATGAGGGAGGGAGTGGGGCTGGTGCTGGGGCAGGTGCTGCACAGCCAAGGCAGGGCGGGGTGCAGGACAGAGCCTTGGTTTTTCTGGAGGGTTTGGGGAAGGAGGGGGTGGCTCCTGCTGCTGCACACACCCTGAGAGGGCAGGGGGGTCGTGTGCCCCTCAAATCCATCTACAGGGTGAGAGTGGGATGCTACTGTGGGCTGGGGGCAGTGCCAGGTTCTTCTTGGTGGGGGGCTGGGCCAGGGCTGTGCTTGGGTTTGGCAGCAGTGGTGCTGGGAGGGGAGCTATGGCAGATTTTGGAGTGGCTTTAGCTCCCCAAGCCCCCCCCCCCCCAAGCCCCCTGGCAGCCCTCCCTCCCCCACCCGCCCTGAGAGTACCGCCGGTCCAACCCCACCGCTAGGAAGAACCAGGCCTGCCCCTGGCTCCAGCCTGCAGCAGCCCTCGCCCCGTGCACAGATCCAGGGGGCACCCCCCCCATGCCCTCTCAGGGTGTGTGTAGCAGCAGGAGCCACCCCCCACACCCTCCCTGTGTCCCCCGGGTGAGCTGCTCATGGTTCTGTCCCTTACCCCACCCTGACCCAGCTGTGCAGCGGCTGCCCTTGCTTCAGACCCAGCATCAGCCCCACTCCCTCCCTCACCATGGGGGCCTCATCCGCCATGCAGTATTTATTGACATTATGAGCCACATCAACCAAAAAAAGCAAATTGCTGATGTCAATTTTCCTTTTATCGGTGCCGATATGATATGGGACCTGTGTATTGGTGCACCTCTACTAATTGCCCACAGTACAAACATCCTATTTTGGGTGAGTGGCACAGCAACACTAGTTAATTTCCTGTTTTCCAAACTTCTTTGTTTAGTATGACGCTGGAGAAATCAGTTGTAGATTATCACCTAAATACAACCTCCTTACCATTTATACCACTCATCTGGTTTTAACCATTCTCACAGTAAAATGATTTGGGAAAGTCGTTAGCATGATATAACAAATTTATGAGAAAACCATGGGAGGACTGAAATAAAAATTGTAGAAAATACAGTACTTAAGACATTACATGAGTCTCATCAATATACAGCAAACAGGATTAAATTGACCCACCTTGGAGTGCCCACGAAAGGTTGTCTGAATCTTGGAAGCATTACTTTAGCCTCCTGAGTGAGGAGCCTAGATGGACACAGGTGGAGAGAGGTGGATTCTGGCAAAAAGGGGCTGCTTTGAGTGGAAAGGGAGGAGAACTGA